GTGGTCACACTCCTGGTCTACTTTCATGTTCCACCCTGTACACCTGGCTCTGCCTTTTAGATAGCAGTAACACAATTAGTGAAAGTACTAAAAGTATTTGAAATACATGGAAGAAATAATGGCGTAAGCTGTCCTCTCTCTCTCTCTGCCTTGGCTGCCAAACAGGGAAGGGCCCCCTGTCCAGTGGACATGTGACTTGCGTGAACTTGCCTATCATTGGAGGTGGCTCACACTCCTTACCCTGCCCCCTTGTCTTGTATCCAATAAGTAACAGCACAGCCAGGCATTCAGGGCCACTACCGATCTCCGTGTCTTGGTGGTAGTGGCCCCCCGGGCCCAGCTGTCTTTTCTTCTGTCTCTTTGTCTTGTGTCTTTATTTCTACGATCTCTCATCTCCGCACATGAGGAGAAAAATCCACAGACCCAGTAGGTCTGGACCCTACAGTAGAGGAAATGGTAATAATAATAATCACGACTGCCATAATAAGGACAATAGGTTATTGAAGACTTCTGTTGTGATTGCCATAGTCCAGGCATTTTATTAACATCCCAGCAGCAGTTTGCCATAGGAACTATTATCCCTGTCTTATAGGTCAGGCAGTCAGTTTAAATATCCTGCCTTAATCAACCATCTAGTAAGTGAAAAAAACAGAGTTTGAACCCAGGTCTCTCTGCAGTCTCCCAATAACACCTGTGTTATGATAATAATTAATAGTAGTAATAAAAGCAGCACCTGGCCAGGCGCAGTGGCTCATGCCTGTGATCCCAGCAGTTTGGGAGGCTGAGGCGGGTGGATCATGAGGTCAGGAGTTCAACACCAGCCTGGCCAAGATGGTGAAACCCTGTCTCTACTAAATATACAAAAATTGGCTGGGTGTGGTGACAGGTGCCTATAATCCCAGCTCCTTGGGAGGTTGAGGCAGAAGAATTGCTTGAATCCAGGAGGCAGAAGTTGCAGTGATCTGAGATCGCACCACTGCACTCTAGCCTGGGTGACAAAGCAAGACTGTGTCTCCAAAAAAAAAAAAGCAACACAGCAACACCTTATATCTATAGACCATTTTATACCATGTGCCAGGTACTAATTGCTGTTCCTGTATTCCTCTAATCCTCACAATTGCTACTGCCTTTACACATAAGGAAACTGAGGCTGAGAGGTAAAATGATTTACCCAGATGGTCAGTTTGCTGGTAAGTTGGGCAATGGGATCAGAGCCGTGGCAGTCTGACTCTAGAGCTCTTCCTGTAACTCACACACACACACTGCATCTCTCGCTAGCAATGAGATGCAGAACACAGGCCACACCCGGGGAAGGTGACTCCCAAGAGGAGAAAAGGGAACCCTGCCCTGCAGTGAAAGGCTTGCAACAGTCATGCACTTGTTAATGTTAAAGAAAGAGAAGGGAGTCAATTATATTTTCCCCAGGAGCTACCCACTCATCTGTCTGTATACTGAAATAGGAAGATTTATCATACTTCTGTTACTCTTTTTTCTGAGATGGAGTTTCGCTCTTGTCACCCAGGGCAATGGCATGATCTCTGCTCACTGCAACCTCCGCCTCCCAGGTTCAAGCTATTCTCCTGCCTCAGCTTCCTGAGTAGCTAGGATTACAGGTGCCCACCACCACGCCTGGCTAATTTTGTGTTTTTAGTAGAGACAGGGTTTCACCATGTTGGCCAGGCTGGTCTCGAACCCCTGACCTCAGGTGATCCACCCGCCTCGGCCTCCCAAAGTGCTGGGATTATAGGCATGAGCCACTGCACCAGGTGTTATATTACTTGTTATACTTTATTGTGCCTGGAAGAAACAGAAAAAGGTTATCAGATAGTCCTTTTTCTGAAGAGCTGCCTTTTACACATTTACTATGAGCTGGTGGCTTTACACCAAGCAACAGCTAGCTGTTTAAGGGTAACTGGTATAATTGTACCCATTGATATCCTTTCTATTTACTAAACAATATAAAAGATAAAAGCAAAAGTGTCTTCAAAAGAAGACATACATGTGGCCAACAAAGCATATTAAAAAGTGTTAATTATCACTAATGATTAGGGAAATGCAAATCAAAACCACAATGAGATACCATCTCACACCAGTCAGAATGGCTATTATTAAAAAGTCAAAAAATAACAGATTCTGGCAAAGTTGCAAAGAAAAGGGAACCCTTATACTCTGTTGGTGAGAGTGTAAATTAATTCAGCCATTGTGGAAAGCAATGTGGCAATTTTTCGGAGAGCTAAAAACAGAACTATCTTTTCACCCAGCCATCTCACTACTGGGTATATACCCAAAGAAATATAAATTGTTCTACCATAAAGACACATGTAGATGTATATTCATTGCAGCACTGTTCACAGTAGGAAAGACATGGAATTAACCTGGATGTCCAATGATAGACTGGATAAAGAAAATGTGGTACATATATACCATGGAATACTATGCAGCCATGAAAAAGAACAAGATCATGTCCTTTGCAGGAACATGGATGGAACTGGAAGCCATTATTCTTAGAAAACGAATGCAGGAACAGAAAACCAGATACCACATGTTCTCACTAATAAGTGAGAGCTAAATCATGGGAACCGATGGACAGAAAGAGGGGAACAACAGACACTGGGGCCTGTGGGAGGAGGAGGGAGAGGCTCAGGAAAAAAAGAAAGAAAGAAAACAAAAACTGTCAAGTACTATGCTTACTACCAGGGTAATGAAATAATCCATACATCAAACCCCTTAGTCATGAGTTTACCTATATAACAAATGTGCACATGTACCCCTGAACCCAAAATAAGTCAAAATATTTACATTTTAAAAAACAAAAGTATCTGATAAAGAAAGTGGTTTGCTTTTAATCATAGTGTTTTTCAGTTAAATAGTTTAAAATATTTTTTTCATTTCCCTTAATTCCAGATTGATTTTCTTTGGGGCTTAAATTCTTAAAAAAAAAAAAAGAAAAGAAAAGAAAAGAAAAGTGTAGAGGCCGGGTACAGTGGCACAGGCCTATAGTCTCAGCTACTCCAGAGGCTGAGGCAGGAGGATCACTTGAGCCCAGGAGTTTGAAACTGTAGTGCACTGTGATCACGCCTCTGAATAGCCACTGCACTCCAGCCTGGGCAACATAGGGAGACCCTATCTCCAAGAAAAAGAGAGATAGAGAGAAGGAAAGAAAGAGATAGAGAGAAGGAAAGAGGATAGAGAGAAGGAAAAAAGAAGATAAAGATCTATTTTGGGAATGTCATTCAAAAACATAAGAATAGTTGCATTATTGATTTTTGTCAGGTTTCACTGGATAAAATTAAGATGTCATTAATTGTATGTGATTATATAAGAAGCTAGAACTCTTACCTAAGTAAATGTTGATGGGTTGTGAAATAATGAAGGACTCTTACCTACATTAATATTGATGGTTTGAGAATCAAGTATATTTAATTCTGGTGAGAATTACAAAGAAAGCCACAGATGTCATTTATTCTCTTTGTACACTTAGAATGTAGTATGAAACAAGATATAAACTTGTGGAAAAATTAAATCGTAATAGTAAATTAAAGAACAGTTTCATTGAACAATAGGAAACATTAGGATTATATATTAATAGTTATTTGTTTGTTCTCTATCTCCTACCCTGGAAAATGAGTTGCAAGGGACAGGGAATCCTTTGAAGTATCCCTAGTGCCTAGAATGATGTGATCACCTGGTAGGTGTTTAGTAAATATTGTATGTATTGAGTCTTCTACAGGGATTTTCAGGGAGGTGGAAGGATTTCAAGCACATTTGAGAGGTAGAGTTTGACGAGCAGAGAGAAAGTAGAGGACATTTTGGATGGGCAGATTGGCATGAACAGATGAAAAGCCATGGAAGAGAGTAAGATGTATTTGGGAGACTGCAAAATAACTGTTTTGTGTAGTCTAGAACAGGGGCCCCTAGTCCCTGGACCACAAACTGGTACAGGTCCGTGGCCTGTTAGGAGCCAGGCTGCACAACAGGAGGGTGAATAGTGGGCCAGCAAGCGAAGCTTCATCTGTGTCTATAGCTGCTCCCCATCACTTGCATTACTGCCTGAGCTCCACCTCCTGTCAGATCAGCAGTGGCATCAGATTCTCATAGGAACACAAACCCTATTATGAACTGTACATGCAAGAGATCTAGGTTGTATGTTCCTTATAAGAGTCTTGAGCCTGATGATCTGTCACTGTCTACCATCACCCCCAGATGGAACTGTCTAGTTGCAGGAAAACAAGCTCGGGACTCCCACTGATTCTACATTATGGTGAGCTGTATAATTATTTCATTATCTATTACAATATAATAGTAGAAATAAAGTGTACAATAAATATAATACACTTGAGTCATCCCAAAACTCTCCCTTTCCCCAACCTTGGTTGGGGAAACTGGTCCCTGGTGCCAAAAAGGTTGGGGACCACTGGTGTAGAAGGTGATTTAATGGAAGAGCAGGGAAAATTAAGTTCAAAGTATTAGATAGGGGTTGTGGGAGGCTACAGACTCAGAGTTTGGGATTTATTTTATGGGAGAAGAGGAGCCCTGCAAGGCCTTGAGCCGAGGAATGGCCTGGGGAAGGCAGGGCTTGATAAGGACTGCCTTGCAGTGGAGCAAGAAGAGCCTGGGTGCCGTGAGATTATTGGGAAGGTGTAAGGGCTCTGAGCCAGGGATATGATAAAACACAGAGAGACTTAGGAGATGCTTCAAAGGAGGAGGCAATAGGCTTACTTTTTGGACGTTGTAGAAAAGAGAAGAGACCGAACTGACTGAACAAATCTAAGCGTGGGTGACCAGAAAAATGGTATCACCATTTTTCTTTTTTTTTTTTTTTTAATAGAGATGAGGTCTTGCTATGTTGCCCAGACTGGTCTTGAACTCCTGGCCTCAAGTGATCGTCCCACCTCGGCTTCCCAGAGTATTGGGATTATAGCCATGAGCCACTGCCCCCAGCTAGTAATACGGTTTTAAGAAACCGTTTGCTTTACATTAGCATCCTCGCAGCATGTATCCTCTGTCATTTCTAAGGTGACGAGTGGGGAGTAGAGATTTAGATGCTTTGAGCTCATTATTTTTCTATGATATAAGAGTTTCCTGCAGTGTGTAAATGGTGGAAAAGAGAAGTTATATATGGCGCAGAGCAATTGCTAGATGGAGTGACTTTTGAACCCAGATTCAAATATGAAATCCAGAAGCACTCTTTTCTTTATTCAGGGGGCCTTTTTTGAATATCCTACAATGGGTCGTGCACTTGGCCAGGAGCTAGTGTAGTGCAAGCAAAAAAAGACATGGTCCCTGCCCCGGGGCACTTAACAGCCTAGTAGGAGACAGGTATTAAATAATTACACTAGTAAAAATGAAAAGTTCTAACTATGGCAAATGCTATGAATGCTAAAGGCATGGGGCTGAGAGAACATATGAGATGATTTTGACCAATTTGGGATATTAGAGAAACTTTTTATCAGCAAGTAATGTTGTGCAGAGAGTTGAAAAAAAGAATTCCTGCTACAGCAGAACTACCTTACCACGGCATGACTTTTGCCAGCTGCAGAAGTCATGAAAAATACTTTGTTCTCCTAACTCCAGGTTTCTCTCATCTACCAGCCGCTCCCTGCCGCACCACCCTCCCTCAGCACACACAAGTCATAATCATCGTTTGTTTTTCCTGAAGATTCCTGTACTGGTTTTTTGCATCCTCATATCACAATCTGATCGTTTTCATATGTTACATAATTAACGTGGTTTTCAGTTAAGTCGCTCAACAATTTGCTCCCCATCAGTAGTTCTCAACAGATAGCCCGTCTGTGGGCAGGAGGGAAGGATGAGAGGTAGTCTGGTAAAATAGTTTGAAAAATACTGCCCGAGAGGAGTTTTCTACCGTTTTCTAATAAGATGCTCACTTAGAAACGGTATTGCAGTTTTCTTTTAGATTTTCTCATTCCCTTTTCTGTGACACTGCAGGGACGAACTCTTCCGACAAAGTCTGGCAAAACTGCGAGAGCAGCTGGTTAAAGCTAACACCTTGGTGAGGGAAGCAAACTTCTTGGCTGAGGAAATGAGCAAACTCACTGATTACCAAGTGACTCTTCAGATCCCTGCTGCAAACCTTAGTGCCAATAGGAAGGTAAGAATGTCCTTCAAGTGAGAGGGCAAGATGTACAATAGTAAATACTGTAAAACAGGATCTAAAACTGAAATCCCAGAAACATTCCTGAGGAGATCCTGATATCAGCCAGAGGTATTTATTTTTTTCAAGACATTCTTTATACACCTCATTGGGTAAGAATGCTATTTAAATGATGTTTTTAGATATGTAATAAGCAGAATACACAGAATTTTAGTGGCTGAAGGACTTCCTAATTGATATGCCTTCTTTAAAACAATAAAACTAGAAACATATTTTACCTGTTTTTTTTTTTTGCATGTAAATACCCCTTTCTGAATTGGGGGAATATGTGTAGGCTATAGTACCTGGTTTTTGTTTATTTGGTTTTTTTTTTTAGACTAAGTCTCACTCTGTCACCCAGGTTGGAGTGCAATGGCATGATCTCAGCTCACTGCAGTCTCCGCTTCCCGGGTTCAAGCAATTCTCCTACCTCAACCTCCCGAGTAGCTGGGATTACAGGCGCGTGCCACCACACCTGGCTATTTTTTGTGCTTTTAGTAGAGACAGGGTTTTGCCATATTGGCCAGGCTGGTCTTGAACTCCTGGGTTCAAATGTTCCACCCGCTCGGCCTCCCAGAGTGCTAGGATTACAGGCGTGAGCCACTGTGCCTGGCCTGCTATGGTACCTTTTTAAGAGTGAATTCTACAAGAAAGGAAGACTTTTTATGATACCTGACTTCAAACACACAGAACTCTTTGCAAGCATTTGAGAGCTTCCTGTCATTTCACCTTGAAGAATTTTTCCTGTAGAGAGAAACTTTGAAGAAAATTGTTTTTTGTTTTTGTTGTTGTTGTTTATCAGGGGAACCCACCCCCAATATTTCAACGTAGGTTCTCTATTTTCCATAAGTGTCAGCCGGCTGAGAAATAAAGAGAAAGAATACAAAGAGAAGAATTTTACAGCTGGGCCGCTGGGGGTGACATCACGTATCAGTAGGACCGTGATGCCCACCTGAGCCTCAAAACCAGCAAGTTTTTATTAAGGGTTTCAAAAGGGGAGGGGGTATAAGAACAGGGAGTAGGTACAAAGATCACATGCTTCAAAGGGCAAAAAGCAGAACTACTAATACTGGTCTAGCAAAGATCACATGCTTCAGAGGGAACAGGACAAAAGGCAAAAGCAGAGCTACTGATAAGGGTCCAACAAAGATCACAAGGCAAAGAGCAAAAGCAGAACTACTGATAAGGGTCTATGTTCAGCGGTGCACGTATTGTCTTAATTAACATCTTAAACAACAGAAAACAGGGTTCGAGGGCAGAGAACTGGTCTGACCACAAATTTACCAGGGCGAAGTTTTTCCCCACCCTAGTAAGCCTGAGGGTACTGTAGGAGACCAGGACATATGTCAGTCCTTATCTCAACCAGGTAAGACAGACATTCTCAGGGCGGCCATTTATAGACCTGCCCCCCAGGAATGCATTCCTTTCCTAGGGTGTTAATATTAATATTTCTTGCTAGGAAAAGAATTTAGCAATCTCTTTCCTACTTGCATGTCCATTTATAGGCTCTCTGCAAGAAGAAAAATATGGCTTTTTTTGCCCGGACCCGCAGGCAGTCAGACCTTATGGTTGTCTTCCCTTGTTCCCTAAAAATCACTGTTATTCTTTTCTTTTTCAAGGTGCACTGATTTCATATTGTTCAAACACACGTGTTTTACGATAAATTTGTACAGTTAACACAATTATTACAGTGGTCCTGAGGTGACATACATCCTCAGCTTATGAAGATAACAGGATTAAGATATTAAAGACAGGCATAATAAATTATAAAAATATTATTTGGGAACTGATAAATGTCCATGAAATCTTCACAATTCATGTTCCTCTGCCACAGTTCCAGCTGGTCCCTCCGTTCAGGGTTCCTGACTTCCTGCAACAGTTGTTTTTTGAGATGGAGTTTCACTCTTTGCCCAGGCTGGAGTGCAGTGACATGATATTGGCTCACTACAACCTCCGCCTCCTAGGTTCAAGTGATTCTCTTGCCTCAACCTCCCAAGTTGCTGGGATTACAGGCATGTGCCACCACGCCCAGCTAATTTTGTATTTTTAGTAGAGGTGGGGTTTCACCGTGTTGGTGAGGCTGGTCTCAAACTCCTGACCTCAGGTGATCCACCAAACTTGGTTGCCCAAAGTGCTCGGATTACAGGCATGAGCCACCGTGCCCAGCCAGAAAATTGTTTTTCTATGACTCTGAAAAAAAGAAAAACTAAATTTAAATAAAGTAAGAAAATTGTTTTTCATCCATTCATTTTTTCTTCCAGCAAGCAAGCTAGAAAATGAGTCAGGGAGTATCTTATCAGTCTTGCTGGGTTTTACTCTTTTGACCTAGTAGTTCCCCTTTGGGAAATTTATTCTAAGCCCATAGTCATTGAAGTGTCCAGGATGCTTATCATAGTGGACTTTATAATAGCAAAAACTTGAAACAGACATGATGTCAAACAATAGAATAATTAGTCAAATGTGTAGTAGATCCAAATGCTATGGATACTGCTATGTTGCCATTAAAAAATCATGTCTATGGCTGGGTCTGGTGGCTCTCGCCTATAATCCTAGCACTTTGGCAGGCCAAGGTGGGCAGATCACTTGAGTGCAGGAGTTTGAGACCAGCTTGGGCAATGTTACAAAACCCCATCTATACAAAAAAATGCAAAAGAAAAAATAGTCATGATGTCATGTGCCCGTCCGTAGTCCCAGCTGCTTGGGAGGCTGAGGTGGGAAGATTGCTTGAGCCCAGGAGGTCAAGGTTGTAGTGAGCTAAGATCATACCACTTCACTACAGCTTGGGTGATAGAGCAAGACCCTATCTTAAAAAAAAAAAAAAAAATTCATGTTTATGAAGAATATTTAACAATAAAAGAAAAATGATCACAATATCAAAACTGGAGAGAGGATTGGGGTGTGAAGTTATACTTTTGTTTAGTCTTGATTGTGATAAAAGTTAAGTGTGCATGAGTGTACATAGAAGAGAGAAAATAAATCAGACTATCCCTCTGGGTGGTAGAATTTTATCTTCTTTTGTATACATGTATGTGTTTTGCAAACTTACTATGTTACTGTTCTCTATATATTACTTTAGCGATCGAAAAAGGAGTTATAACAGTTTGTTTTTTCTTCCTTATGCAGAGAGGTGCAATAGTGAGTGAGCCAGCTATCCAAGTGAGGAGGAAAGGAAAGAGCACCCAAGTGTGGACCATTGAGAAGCTGGAGAATAAATTAATTGATATGAGAGACCTTTACCAAGAATGGAAGGAAAAAGTTCCTGAGGTAAAAGAGACAAAATGTAAAGGAGATTTTGTCATGTTAAAAACAGAGAATATAAGCGATTTAGCATCTCACACACACACACACAGATGTGCTGATGATACTTCAGACATTTATATCAGGAAAATAAATTACAAGTGATTTTGAAAGAAGTGCTAAGTCGAATCAGTAATATAACACGTGATCCCCACACAGATGGGAACTAAATGAAGAAAACGTATAGTAGATTCTTATCTGGCTTCATGTTTACTACATTTCAAGTGAAAAGAAGTAGAATGAAGTAAATTTATGCCATTTTATCGGTGCTGTGAAAAATCAGCTTGGCTGGAGCCAGTGTGGATTTCACATTCATTAATGTGTGTTCACACACCCCTAGCTGTGATCATGGCTGGGTAGATTACTAAGAGTAATTTTAGCTTGCATAATCCGTTTTTTGGACATTAGCAGTGGAAAAGAAGACTTGGCAAAGGAGATGAGGCAAAGCAAAGGGGATGAAATGAAAAAGCTGCAGGTGAGGTGGGTAGGGACGACAATGCAGGGACTGAAGAGGAATCCTCTGCACAGGCATCACTTAGCTCCCCAGCAAGCAGGCCCCTCCTATGGGCTAATTTTTTTTTTTTTTAAATGGAGACAGAGTCTCACTCTGGCTGGAGTGGTGTGATCTCGGTTCACTGAAACCTCCATTTCCTGGGTTCAAGCGATTCTCGTGCCTCAGCCTCCTGAGTAGCTGGGACCACAGGCATGCGCCACCACACCTGGCTAATTTAGTTTTTCTTTATGTGACATTCTAATTTTACTTCCTGTTTAAATGGATAGATTCTTTAAATTTTTTTTCAAACTCTGGTTTTAAATAATATTACTTAAATTGATGTTGTGTTTCTTATTCATCCACTCACTGGCTCCTTCTACTGCTCAGGCAAAGAGACTCTGCGGGAAACGAGGTGACCCTTTCTATGAAGCCCAAGAGAATCACAACCTCATCGGGGTGGCGAATGTGTTCTTGGAATGCCTCTTCTGCGATGTGAAACTCCAGTATGCAGTCCCTATCATCAGCCAGCAGGGGGAGGTAAGCACAGGCCAGCCTTGGAGAACGATGGTGGTTCAAGTTTTTCGTTTTATTTTGTTTTTCATTCTGTTTAAGCTGTGTTCTTGAGGTGGATCAAGAAACTAAGGCAAATAGTCAAGATCTGCATTCTTCTTTCTCTACTAATAATCGATATTAGAAGCTTTGAGGATTAAGTCATGGTCTTAAAGGATTATTATAACACATTTAATATTTGGAGGTCACAAGTTTTTTCTTTGTTTTAATCAAATTGGAAATATTTTGGAAACCATATTCAGCTCTGTGCCCCATATTGCTCTCTCTTTTTAAAGGTAATCTCATACTTTTGCAATATACTCTAGTTCCTTCCTGGCCCCTAAATGGTCTTTATAAGATACAGCTTAGGAGGATTATTTTGCAATCCAGAGTACTCAGACAAAACAGGCTTCAATGACTCCTTGTTACCCTCCTTTTAAACTCTGGTGTTTCAGCTATTTAGATATAGTGGCCTAGGTAGGCATAAGGTATTTCAGAAAATGTACGTTGAACTACCAAGTTATTTCTTGTGATTCTTAGAGCAGGCGAAGAATAAGATGCCATTCTGCCCAAAGTGAAGCTGCAGTATAGACCCACGTTCCCAGTTGTTGGGTATAGGTGCACAGCCCACCATCCACTATGGAAACACGCCATGGACATTCTGTTCCAGAGGACCAGTGCCTAACAGTGCTTTTTCCCATGAGAAAAATGGGCACAGTTAGGTGTCTGAAACTAGCCTGGTCAACATTGTGAGACCCCATCTCTAAAAAAGAAGTTTAAAAATTGACCAAGCATGGACAGGGCACAATCGCTCACGCCTGTAATCCCTGCACTTTGGGAGGCTGAGGTGGGTGGATCACAAGGTCAGGAGTTTGAGACCAGCCTGGCCAATATGGTGAAACCCCATCTCTACTAAAAATACAAAAAAATCAGCCAGGCATGGTGGCGGGCACCTGTAGTCCCAGCTACTCGGGAGGCTGAGGCAGGAGAATCGCTTGAACTCAGGAGGCGGAAGTTGCAGTGAGCCAAGATCACACCACTGCATTCCAACCTGGGTGACAGAGCGAGATTCTGTCTCAAAAAAATAATAATAATAATTAACCAGGCATGGTGATGAGCACCCATAATCCCAGCTACTCAGGAGGCTGAGGTGGGAGGATCACCAAAGCCCAGGTAGGTCTAAGCTGCAGTGAGCCGTGATCATACCAATGCAGCCCAGCCTGGACAACAGAGTGAGACCCTGTCTCAGAAAGAAAAAGTGAGCACAATTAAGATGGCAGAGTGATTCAGTGGCTGAGTCCCTAGCTCAGGACTTCTTAATTTGGAGTCTGTGGTGTGCTTTGAGTATTCCATGAATCCCCCTGAAATTATATTAAAGTGAATTAGATTATCGAAAAGCATTAAAAAAAAAAAAAATTAAGAACAACTATCTTCTGATTTCTTTTAGTTCCTTTCTTCCCTCATCTTACTGCTTCTTCCGTATTTGTCTTACTTCTCAGATATCATCATGTGATTTCTCTTAGGTCCTTGGTGCCAGTGCCAATTACTGTCTGGAAGTTGGATCTAATCTACCTTTAAAAGTAACCTTCCCTGTTTAGGATGACAGCGCACTACCAGAACATGTGTCACCTTGTACACATGTGTAGTGACAGCCACAGTTATTACAACCTGAAAGTGTGTGACGAGAGATAATTAAGACAATTAAAGCACTCCAAGAATGCAAATTTCAGAATAATCCTTTTCCTCTAATTTGATTCTGTGCAGCCAGCTTTAAGAGAAACATGGTTAAACTGACTCCTATCCAGAGAGCCACCATGATAGAAAATTTAAAGCCTTTTAATGAAAAAGTTTTAAAATAACTTTCCTCATATTTGTGTGGCTTTCAATATGCTGTTCCTCCTGGATTAGATCTAATGGCACTGCTTTATGGAACCCTCCTTCATCCTGCTCTCAGCCCCAATCTGAGTTACACACCCATTCTCTACTCTCAAGAGAATAAAAGCTGCCCGAGCCCAGGAACCTTGTCAATTTGGTTTGCTGTTGGATGCACAGCACTTAGCACAGTTCCTGGCACAGTTAGTTCTTGGTAAATATTTGCTGGTGGGTAAGTTTATCCTATAACAACTCACACATATATCTATTATAGCAACTAATCTATGCTGTTATTGGTGAGTTTTATTGCTGTTGTTGTTTGAGACCGAGTCTCACTCTGTTGCCCAGGTTAGAGTGCAGTGGTGTGATCTCGGCTCACTGCAACCTCTGCCCTCCCCTGTTCAAGCAGTTCTCCTGCCACAGCCTCCCAAGTAGCTGGGACTACAGGTGTGACCCACCATGCCTGGCTAATTTTTTTTTATTATTATTTTGTATTTTTAGTAGAGACAAGGTTTCATCATGTTGGCCAGGCTGGTCTTGAACTCCTAACCTAAGGTGATTCACCTGCCTTGGCCTCCCAAAGTGCTGGGATTACAGGCTTGAGCCACCACACCTGACCTGTTAGTGAGTTACTTCTCTGTCTTGCCTCCTTTGACTATTCCCTGATGGCAGAACCTGTGTTTTTATTTTGGTATTTCATGAGCTAGCTCTTTGGTCAAATGAATAAGTGAATTAAGCATTTTATATTCACTCACATGAATATTTTAAAAAACATAGATAGTCAGATGCGGTGGCTCACGCCTATAATCCCAGCACTTTGGGAGGCCAATGCAGGCAGATCACCAGGTCAGGAGTTCGAGACCAGCCTGGCCAATACGGTGAAAATCTGTCTTTACTAAAAATACAAAAATTGGCTGGACACAGTGGCTTACGCTTGTAATTCCAGCACTTTGGAAGGCCGAGGCATGTGGATCATGAGGTCGGGAGTTCGAGACCAGCCTGGCCAACACAGTGAAACCCTGTCTCTATTAAAAATAGAAAAATTTGCTGGGCATGGTGGCAGGCACCTGTAATTCCAGCTACTTGGGAGGCTAAGGCGGGAGAATCACTTGAACCCAGGAGGCAGAGGTTGCCGTGAGCCAAGATCATGCCACTGCACTCCAGCCTCGGTGACAGAGCTAGACATCGTCTCAAAAAAAAAATTACCTGGGCTTGGTGGCACGCACCTGTAATCCCATCTACTCAGAAGGCTGAGGCAGGAGAATCGCTTGAACCTAGGAGGCGGAGGTTGCAGTGAGCTGAGATCGTGCCACTGCACTCCAGCCTGGATTATAGAGCCAGACTCCGTCTTGGGAAAAAAAAAAAAAAACACATGGATACTAGATGACTCCAGGTAGACTGTGAGAGCTGCCTTTAAGCTATTCCTGGGCTGTCCTGTGGAAGGATACGTTTGAGGATGACTCCAGAAGGCAAGTTGCAGGGAGGCAAATTTGGCTCACACTAAGGCAGGACGATCACAGGGGCAAGTGGTGGAATGGGCTGCTCTGGTAGTAGCAGGGCTCCCGTTACCGAAGATGACCAAGCAGCAGCTGCAGAGCCCCTGTCCAGTTTCATTGTAGAAGGCACGTCTGTCTTAGGTCGAGGTTGCCCACAAGACGTCTGTTAACTCTGAGGTGCTCTGGTTCCTTGACCCAGGTTGCAGGGCGTCTCCACGTGGAAGTGATGCGTGTTACAGGAGCTGTTCCAGAGCGTGTGGTGGAGGATGACTCTTCGGAGAATTCCAGTGAAAGTGGGAGCCTTGAAGTTGTAGACAGCAGCGGGGAAATCATTCACCGAGTCAAAAAACTGACATGTCGGGTGAGAGGACAGTGATGGGAGGCTCATATGAATGACCTTTTTCATGCAAAACCATTTTACAAAAAATCTTAGGAGAGTTTTTCATCCAGAGTAGTAAAAGTTGAATTTTGTAACAGCAGATACAATGGTGGACAGTACTTTGTTTTCAGAAATATAGCACACTTTCTATTGACAGTTGCATCAAATTTCAAAAGTATCTATATATTTGACATGCAAGAAGTGTATGTTGCTTAGTGAATTATGTTTTTCTGTTAAAGGTAGCCTCAGTCATTAGGAAGTGTGGGGGAAAAGAAAGAGAGATCAGACTGTTATTGTTTTCTTTCTTTATACTTTGTCTCTGTGTCTCTTTCTTTTCTCAAGTCTCTCGTTCCACCTGATGAGAAATGCCCACAGGTGTGGAGGGGCAGGCCACCCCTTCAGGAAGCTTTTGCAGGGATATGTGTATTTGTTGCCAAGTTTGTATACTGTAGTTACAGAACTGTGGTACAGATTTCATTATCGATACAATCTTTAGTGTCACAGTGTCAGATATAATATTTTCAGATGTCAAATGGATGACCGATTTATTTAATTGCTTACTATTAAATTTGAGGTAAATTTGAGGTAATTCTGAAATAAAAGAATGTTTAGTGTTTATTGGAGTTTTATTTGTATTGTTTATCTCTTCAGGTAAAAATTAAAGAAGCAACGGGACTGCCCTTGAACCTCTCAAACTTCGTCTTCTGTCAATATACATTCTGGGACCAGTGTGAGTCTACGGTGGCTGCCCCAGTGGTAGACCCCGAGGTGCCTTCACCACAGTCCAAGGACGCCCAGTACACAGTGACCTTCTCCCACTGTAAGGTATAGATGCTGTTACCAGATGAGCTGGGCAGGAAGCAGCAGAAACGGGTGCAGTTCAATAATCGATTGTCCCCATGAGCATTTGTTTTAAGTATAATATGTTTATTAGGATGTTTTAACCTCAAAAATGTACCTTCTTACACATGCAAATAGTTTAGAAATATTTAAAATAAAATCTAAAAGATCTCTACCAACAGTCTTGTTCCCCAAAGATATAAACCACCAATGACAGGTTGCTACATATTTCATTAAACTACTTTCTATGCTCTACATCCTTTATATGTGTATGATAACATATGTACAAACACCCTTTTATATCATGCACACGTAAGTTCTTTAAAAATGCTATACAAAAGTGGGATCACATTATACGTATTTCAGAATTTGTACGTCTTAACATGTAAGTTGCTACATATCTCATACTTAGGAAGATAGCATTACATTCTAATGTGTCATATGAGTGATATATTTCATGTAGATTTTCTCACAAGTCATATGAGAAAATAGAAAAAGGGAAAGGTGAATTTGTGGTGAATGTGGTTGGATCTCCTTTGAGACATCATATATACTCTTCCTGGCTTTCACAAGGGACTGCTGAGAAGTCATTTCTGAAAGACCAGCTCCATCCTCTCTGTAGTTTTGATTTTCCTTAGACAACTCTTCATAGATACTCAAGACCCCTTCTTTTGCAAATCATGCTTATTCTTTCTGGTTCTACACTTAGAAAACTAACCCATATCACCACCTATAAAATTTCACATAGGTAAAGGCTGTCAAGTTTTTCTTTTTCTGAAAACAAATAGCCTACATTTATCTGTATTCACCAAGTCTGTTCCTCAAAATCTTTGTTAATCATTTTTATTGTTGTTCTCTGAATATTCTTTTAAATATTCCCCATCTTTCTGTGAATCCACAAAGCTGCTTGTTTAGAAAGATGAAATCTGAATTTCAAGTGTGTTCTGGTTAACAGCTGTTTTAATAAATGCTAGTCCCAGAGCTGCTGGGCTCTTGTGATCTTGGAGTTTTTTCATCTCTAAAATATACAGATTGTCATGAAGTTTGTTTTTCTTCTTAAATTCTGGGTCTATCTTCAAATAAAATAGACTGAAAAGCAGATACTATATGGTTAAATAAATATAGCACAACTGTTTCTGCAAATTAACATCACGAGAGATGTCTTCACCTGAGATTCCACTGAGAGACTAATGGAAAGAAAATTAGCTTGGCTTGTTGCCTACTGCGTTTCTCTGGGTGATTTGCCACCCATCTCGGTCAGTTCAGTATTCATTTCCTCACAATCATCTGTTTGGGTTTGTTTTTGTTTTTAAAGACGATGTCTCACTCTGTTACCCAGGCTGGAGTGCAGTGGCATAATCATTGCTCACTGTAGCCTCGAACTCCTGGGCTCGAGTAATCCTCCTGCCTCAGCCTCCTGAGTAGCTGGGACTACAGGCATGCACCACCACTCGTGGCTAATTTTTACTTTATAGAGACAGGATCTCATTTTGTTGCCCAGGCTGGTCACTATCTCCTGGGCTCCAGCTATCCTCCTGCCTCTGCCTCCCGAAGTGCTGGGATTACAGACGCGAGTCACCATGCCCAGTCTATCTGTGTTTTAGAAAGAGGAGATAGGGTAGGAAAGCTTAAAAGCAAGAGCATAAAGTCATGAAGATAACCATATAAAATTTAATTCTGTTATTATTCTCCTAAGCCATGGCAAGGAACAGTTCATTGAGTTAGTCTGTGCCAGCTGAAAATCAGACTGGTCCTGTGGACCTGAGAATGAACCAAGTGTAAGACAATGTAGATTCAGCTCTGTAATTAACAAACCATATGACTTTGGACAATTTGCTTTCTTCATTTTCTTTATTGATACAAGAAACAGGTTGAGGCTGGCTATGGTGGCTCACGCCTGTAATCCCAGCATTTTGGGAGGCCGAGGTGGGTGGATCACAAGGTCAAGAGATCGAGACCATCCTGGCTAACACGGTGAAACCCCGTCTCTACTAAAAATTTAAAAATTAGCCTGGCGTGGTGACGTTCGCCTGTAGTCCCAGCTACTCGGGAGGCTGAGGCAGGAGAATAGCGTGAACCTGGGAGGCGGAGCTTGCAGTGAGCGGAGATCGTGCTACTGCAATCCAGCCTGGGCAATGAAGCGAGACTCCGTCTCAAAAAAAAAAGAAATGGGTTGAATTAAATTGCCTCCCAATTTTCCTTTCAGATCTAATATTCTGTGGTTCTTTATGGTTTTCTGTAAAACAGAAGAGATGGATTTAAGGTCGAGATCAGGCTAACATACTCTAAAATAAATATAACAGTTGAAAGGTCAAAAGGAAATTTCACAGACTCCTTTAAGCATAATTCTTGTGCTTCCCCCCACTTACCCCAGGACTATGTGGTGAATGTAACGGAAGAATTTCTGGAGTTCATTTCAGATGGAGCACTGGCCATTGAAGTGTGGGGCCACCGGTGTGCTGGAAATGGCACCTCCATCTGGGAGGTTGATTCTCTTCATGCTAAGACAAGAACACTGCATGACAGGTTTGTACTTGGCTGTCAGTTTTAGATACAAGGTCAAGACTAGGACTTGAGCAGTCTCTGAACCTACTCTGGCCTAGGAGGCTGCTCATAAAAAAAAAATAAAATCATTTAATAAAAAAAAAAGAATGGCCGGGCACGGTGGCTTACGCCTCTAATCCAGCACTTTGGGAGGCCGAGGCGGGCGGATCATGAGGTCAGGAGTTAGAGACCAGCCCGGCCAACATGGTGAAACCCTGTCTCTACTAAAAATACAGATATTAGCCAGGCATGGTGGCATGTGCCTATAATCCCAGCTACTCAGGAGGCTGAGGCAGGAGAATCTTTTGAACCCGGTAGGTGGAGGTTTCAGTGAGCCAAGATTGTGCCACTGCACTCCAGCCTGGGTGACAGAGTAAGACTCTGTCTCAAAAAAAAAAGAAGGAAGGAAGGAAGGGAGGGAGGAAGAGAGGAAGGGAGGGAGAGAGGGAGGGAGGGAGGGAAGGAAGCCAGCCTTCTCTGATCCTATTTCCTCCTTTGTAAAATGAAAATGATGAAAGAAACTACCAGGTACTAAAGAAGTTCAATGGGGAATTGTATGTCCTATCAACAAGTGAGACTGAAACAACTACATCTCTGTGGAGAAAAATCACCCTTGTTCTTGACTTCACACCATATACAAAAATTAATTTGAGATGAATCATATGTAACCTTAAATATGAAAGCTTAAACTATAATGCTTACAGAAGAACACAGGATTTTGAGATAGTCACATATTCTCAGAAAGGCCACAGAAAGTGCTAACCATGGAAGAAAAAAAATGTTTAAGTTGGACTTAATCAAAATTAAAAGCACGTGCTCATCAAAAGACCACTACGAAAATGAATACATAAGCCACAATCTGGAGGAAAACTGGCATTTTCTTGTCAAGTTGATCATTCGCCTCTTTTATGACCCGAGAATCCCACTCATAGGTATTTACCCAAGATAAATGAAAATGTCAGTCCACAATAGAATTGTACACAATGTTCTTTTTTTTTTTTTTTTTTTTTTTGAGTTGGAGTCTTACTCTGTCTCCCAGGCTGGAGTGTGCAGTGGTGCGATCTTAGCTCACTGCAGCCTCCACCTACTGGAGTGAGTCTCCTGCCTCAGCCTCCTGAGTAGCTGGGCTTGCAGGCCTTTGCCACCATGCCTGGCTAATTTTTTTTTTTTTTTTTTTTAGTAGAGACAGGGTTTCACCATGTTGGCCAGGCTAGTCTCGAACTCCTGACCTCAGGTGATCCACCTGCCTTGGCCTCCCAAAGTGCTGGAATTACAAGTGTGAGCTACCACACCCGGCCTATGTGATGTTCATAGCATTGTTATTCATGGTATCCCCAAATTGCAAATAGCCCAAATATCCTTCAGTGAGTGAATGGGGATAAATTGGTATTATTCATAAATAAAGTATTACTCTGCATTAAAAAAGAAAAAAACTTTTTATCCATTTGGATGAATCTCAGAAACATTATGCTGAATGAAAGAAGCCAGACGCAAGAATACATAATGTGCGATTCCATTTTTCTGGAGTTCTAGAACAGGCAAAACTAATCTCTGAGTTACACGGTTGCTACGGGAGTGTGGGGATTGAATGGGAACGGGTATGAGCAAACTTTCTGAGGTGATAGGGCAGGTTACACTCATATATGCATTTCTCAAAACTCATCTAACTCTATACTCAAGATGTGGACATTTCAGTCTACCTCAATAAAATAAATAGAAACAATATGACAGGATGGTTTTGAGAGTTCAATAAGGAAGTAACTTATACGAGATGCATGGCAGAGTGCCTAACACATAGTAAGTGCTCAGTGAATGGTGGCTTATTACTGTTACTAACAGTGTGGCTAGACAGTGACGCTCTTGCTTGTTGGAATGTGTTTCTGCAGGTGGAATGAAGTAACGCGAAGAATAGAAATGTGGATCTCCATATTAGAATTGAATGAGTTAGGGGAGTATGCTGCCGTGGAACTTCATCAGGCAAAAGATGTCAACACAGGAGGCATCTTTCAACTTAGACAGGTACTGGGTTTGTTTTGGGTTTTTTTTTTTAAATGTTTTCTCTCTCTTCCACTCTTACACATAGTTTCTGGGGATTTTCTAACTATTTGTATCTTTGTTCTCTAATCCTTTTCCCCTTCTTTATCCCCTTCCTCTTCATTATCATTCCTGGCACTCATACCCCTGCCCACCCTCTTCAGGGTCATTCCCGTAGAGTGCAAGTCACGGTGAAACCTGTGCAGCATTCAGGGACACTGCCGCTTATGGTTGAAGCCATCCTGTCGGTATCCATCGGTTGTGTGACTGCCAGGTCCACCAAACTCCAGAGAGGGCTGGACAGTTACCAGGTAAGACAAGCAGACTTGAAACAGTATTTAACAAAGCTTGGTTAATGCAGAAATAAGGCATTTAATGATCTCCGATGGGGACCTTTTTGCGAATATAACAGAATTCCTTGCCTTAACCGTAGATCTTCCCCCAGTTCACATTTCCATCCATTGCCTTTTTTCTAGCTTTAAAATCTGTTTGCTTAGTGTTGGTTAATAATAATTCTATTTATAAACACACACATCCTAATGCTATAGTAGTCATTTACTTTAGGCAGATTTTATTTTATATCTGGCCTAAAATATGTTGTATCTTTGGCATTACTGCTTGACCTGATCTACTTTTTGGAGGTTTTTTTATATATTTTTTTTAAAGATAAGGTTTTGCTTTGTTGCCCAGGTTGGAGTACAGTGGTGTGATCATGGCTTACTGCAGCCTTGACCTCCTGGGCTCAAACAGTCCTCCCACCTCAGCTTCCTAAGTAGCTGGGACTACAGGCACATGTCACCACGCCCAGCTGATTCTTTTATTTTTTGTAGAGTAGGGTGTGTCATTCTGTTGCCGACACTGGTCTCAAATTCCTGGACTCAAGTGATCCTCCTGCCTCAGCCTCCCAAAGTGCAGGGATTGCAGGCATGAGCCACCATGCCTGACCACTTTTATTTATAGTGTAAAATTATTTTCATACATTGTCATAATAAACCAGCTCTTTGAAAGCTTTACTTCTTTTGTTAAAATTTGTCCTTATGATCATTTTTGTTCATTAAATCTTGATTTCCTAAACATTATATTCTCATTTTAAAAATAAAAAGATGAAAACCTCTAAGAACTGATCTAAGAATTGATCATATTATCAGTCAGAACTATTCAGTACTCCATGAAAAGAATCTCTAAAATTAGGAACTTGGCCAGGCACGTTTGCTCATGCCTATAATCCCAGCACTTTGGGAGGCTGAGGTGGGAGGATCACTTGAGCCCAGGAGTTCGAGACCAGCCTGACCAACATGGCGAAACCCCGTCCCTACTAAAAATGCAAAAAATTAGCCAGGTGTGGTGGCACATGACTGTTGTCTCAGCTATTCAGGAGGCTGAGGCATGAGAATCATTTGAACCCGGGAGGCAGAGGCTGCAAGTGAGCCAAGATCACGCCACTGCACTCCGGCCTGGGTGACAGAGGAAGACTCTGTCTCAAAACAAATAAAATTAGGAACTTGTCCCCCAGTAGCCTAAAAAAAATGTGTGTGCTTCATTGAGTCCCCAGTTTACTACCAGATACGAATTAGGAACTGGGAAGAATCACTGTTAAATCTGCCTCCCTCACCGCCATATCTGTTTGGGAGCACTCTCCCTATCGTGCCGAGGAGAAAACATTTCTCCTCTGTGGAGTCTGAGTCTAAGCCCAGCCAATCTTGAGGATGTTTTCTTTTCTATCTCAGTTTCCTTTTGGCTTCATGGCTTTTAGGCAAAGATTTTTCTGAAAGCTAAAAGTCAGTGCACAGACTATTGGACTTCAAGGCAGTAATAGCTTTGTCAGACGCTGTCTTCCCTCTTCAAGCCCAAAATTCCCTCTAGCTTGGAACATCTGTCCACACTTCATTCAGAGTATGAGTGTGGGTGCAAGGACAGGGCTGCTGTGGTTTGGCAGTCTTCACCAGACTTTTCCTTGTGTGTGTGCGGCCTGTGGAGCAGGAAATGGGATTGTAGGTATTCTCATAGCAGTTCAGTCCTTCACTTAGCCATCAGCTTCTACGTGGCTGCACAGTTGAAAGAGAACACTAGACTTAGAGTCAGAGACCTGGGTTCTTAAGTCTAGTTGAGCTTTACTAAATGGTTATCTTGGCTGTATAATTTAAACTTTGAGTTCCCCTTTTCTCCAAAATGATGAGGTAGACTTAATAATCCTGAGGTCCTTGTGGCTTAATAAATCTCTGATGCTCAATAAAACATTGAGTTTGTTTGCTTCAAACCGTGACCTGCAGTATATCGATCATCAGCTAACTAAATGTTCTCATTTGAGGAACATTCCAAAGATCAACTATTTGCTGCTTTTTTTTTTTTTTGAGTCTCATTCTGTCACCCAGACTGGAGTACAGTGGTGCGATCTCAGATCACGGTAACCTCCGCCTCCTGGGTTCAAGCGATTCTCCTGCCTCAGCCTCCAGAGTAGCTGGGATTACAGGCGCCTGCCAACGTGTCTGGCTAATTTTTGTATTGTTAGTAGAGATGGGGGTTTCACCATGTTGGCCAGGCTGATCTTGAACTCCTGACCTTGCGATCCTTCCGCCTCAGCCTCCCAAAGTGCTAGGATTACAGGCGTGAGCCACTGCGCCCAGTGTTTTTTTTGTTTTGTTTTTTGTTTTTTGTGTTTTTTTGGAGATGGAGTCTCTCTCTGTCACCCAGGTTGGAGTGCAGTGGCACAATCTCAGCTCACTGCATCCTCCATCTCCCTGGTCCGAGCGATTCTCCTGCTTCAGCCTCCCGAGTAGCTGGTATTACAGGCACGAACCACCACGCCCAGCTAATTTTTGTATTTTTAGTAGAGATGGGGTTTCACCATGTTGGCCAGGCTGGTCTCGAACTCCTCACCTCAAATGATCCGGCTGCCTGGTCCTCCCAAAGTGCTGGTATTACACGTGTGAGCCACCACACCCAGCAACTATTTGCATTTTTTTAAAAACAGCTCTACCCCTGAGTTAAAACTGATTTTTGTCAAATTGTAAACTTTAAAATATTAGCCTTTCCCCAGTGCTATATGCTCTTTAAGAGCATAATGCTCTTGGCCAGGCGCAGTGGCTCACGCCTGTAATGCCAGCACTTTGGGAGGCTGAAGCAGGCGAATCACCAGGTCAGGAGATCGAGACCATCCTGGCTAACATAGTAAAACCCCGTCTCTACTAAAAATACAAAAAATTAGCCGGGCATGGTGGTGGGCACCTGTAGTCCCAGCTACTCGGGAGGCCGTGACCTGCAGTGTATGGATCATCAGCTAAGTAAATGTTCTCATTTGAGGAACATTCCAAAGATCAACTATTTGCTTCTTTTTTTTTTTTTTTGTGAGTCTCACTCTGTCACCCAGGCTGGGGTCCAGGAGAATGGCATGAACCCGGGAGGCGGAGCTTGTAGTGAGCAGAGATCACGCCACTGCTCTCCAACCTGGGTGACAGAGCGAAAGTCCATCTCAAAGAATAAATAAATAAACAAAAATAAAAATAAATTTAAAGAAAAAAGAGCATAGTGCTCTTAAAATTTGAACTGTAACTATTTTAAAGGCTTTTTTTTTTCTTTGCTGCCATGTTCCAGGTTATGTCTGTTAAGTGTTTTTGTTGTTGACACAGTGCTTTAGAATTATTCTGAGGTAAAAAAAAAAAAACAATTATTCTGATGCAGTAGCTGAAACCAATGCAGAATATGCTGATTTTGCAACAATTTTACATCGTGAATGCTTAGGCCAGTTTTCAGTTAATAGAACTACCTCCGTAGTTTAAAATTATGATAAATTAGGCCGGGCACAGTGGCTCACGCCTGTAATCCCAGTACTTTGGGAGGCCGAGGCGGGCGGATCACGAGGTCAGGAGATCGAGACCATCCTGGCGAACATAGTGAAACCCTGCCTCTACTGAAAATACAAAAAAATTAGCCGGGCGTGGTGGCGGACGCCTGTAGTCCCAGCTTCTCGGGAGGCTGAGGCAGGAGAATGGCGTGCACCCGGGAGGCGACAGAGCTTGCAGTGAGTGGAGATTGCGCCACTGCACTCCAGCCTGGGAGACAGAACGAGACCCTCTCTCAAAAAAAAAAGAAAAAAAAAAAATTATGATAAATTAGAGCTATTTGTTCTTTTATATTAATAGGAAGCATTAGTTCAAGATAAATTGCTTCGAGATTAGGATTGCATTTAATGAGTTAGTCACATAACTGATAATGATGGTTACCAAAATAAAAAAAAAAAAGCAGTTCATTTTGAAGTATATATGAAAATAATTTTGACTATATTCTTAAAGCACTTTTGTAATCATAAATCTAAATTAAGGGATCCTAGATTCTTGTTTCTAAGGAAACTTTTTTCAGCCAAGACCCTTTTGTTTTCAACATGATTACTTTGTTTTGCCAAATGTTTTTGCCAAAATTTTTGCTTTATTTAGTTATTTTACAATGTTTTCTTGTGTTTGGGACAGTTGTGATTCTTTCAAGTGATTGTTATGGTCAGTAGAGAGCACTGACCGATCCTTATATTCCAAATAGTATGCTGTTGCTTTTATTTCAACAGTGTAGTACAGACCCTTGTATGTATATAGCCTGAGGTTGCCCCAGCTTTCCCCTGGGATGATTGCATCAGGGAAGATGGCTGAGGTTGGAGACCTCAGATATGGCTTACAGTTCTGACCTGCCATTATCTGTGTGATCGTAAGGTTAAATCATTTCATCCTAAGTCTTAGTTGCCTCATTGCTCAAACTGAGATTGGGCAAGAGAATCTTCCTTGTAGTTTTGCTATTCTGTCTTCCTAAGCCTATCTCAAATCTCAGTCAAATAGTCTACCCCAAAATATGTATCAGCTGTCTGTATGACAGTGGTGTAAGGCCTGGCCCAATTATGTTGGTTCCTATCCCCAGCTAAGAGATTTCTTATTTTATTTAATTTTTTGTTTGTTTTTTGGAGACAAGGTCTTGCTCTGCTGCCCAGGCTGAGGTGGAGTGGTATAACCAGAGCTCACTGCAGCCTCCATCTCCTCCTCTCAAGTGATCATCCCACTTTAGTCTCCCAAGTAGCTGGGACTACAGGTGAACACTATCAAATCCAGCTAGTTTAAAAAACTTTTTTTGTACAGATGGGGTCTTGCTATGTTGCCCAGGCAGGTCTCGAACTTCTAGCTTCAAGAGATCCTCCTGCCTCGGCCTTCCAAAGTGTTGGGATTACAGGCATGAGCCCAGCCAAATATTTGTTTCAATGATTCTTTATGTGAAAAATTCTTTATAGACAAGTGAATTAAATTTAGTGTACCATTTTTGAGATTCAATTTAGTGTTTTATTGTGCTTATGTATGTGAGCTGTCCATTTTAATGTGTGTTAAGCTTAAAATAATTATTTTCCCTGTATGCTGTTTAAAAAACAAAATGCTTGTCCTTTGTGTTTATTTTTTCCTACCAGAGAGATGATGAGGATGGTGATGATATGGATAGTTATCAGGTATTGCTACTGCTGTCAATCCTGTGGCATGGGGCACAGCTACTGCTAATTGCCAGCATTCGCAAAGCAGAGGCCAGGGAGGAGGAAGGAGGGCCCTAGAGCAAGAATATGCAGTTTTTCACTTGCTTTTGATTTGCTTTATATGTATTCAAACACAATACTATTTCTATAGATTGCCTTGTCAGTTCAAAATTTGTAACCAAATACTGCCTTTTTGCTATGCCATCTTGATTTACTGTCTTATTGCTAAGCAATATCATTATCACTGTATTAAAATGGATGATCTGGAGACTGATTTGAGTAATAATAAAACTCCAGTCTCCTACAAATTAATTAATTAATTAATTAAAAAATGGATGATCTTAAAATATTGTAGTTATCCATCCATAATCTTTTAGATAGACTCTTACCTTTCCTATGCTAAAGTGCATTTTGCTCCTTACATCCAAGAGCTAGTATTGTTGTAATATGCCATTTTACTTCACAAGACTTTCGCTGAATAGGAAAATTGGAGACATTTTATGCACATAATTGTGTTTTGTTTAGCCAGCTTTCTTCTCTCATTTGGGTAACACTTAGTTCTCCATAACCTATAGAATTTAAATCTCAGCCTTTTCTGGTTGGAAATCTAGAAAAAATATATAGATGTACAAATTGAGATTATACCTAGTCAGCACTGACTGGCCTGATACCATGGAGTGTGGGGTTATGTATAAATTGTCAAAGCAGCAAACCAAGATGAAGCTTTCTGGGTTTGGTGCCCAGTCTTTGTACGGATTCTCCACACACATCGTCAAGTGATGTTTTCCCAGTGTGCCTTCCTACATGTAAAATGTGGGTACAGTGGCTGGGCGCAGTGGCTCACGCCTGTAATCCCAGCACTTTGGGAGGCCGAGGCGGGCAGATCACAAGGTCAGGAGTTTGAGACCAGCCTGGCCAACATGGTGAAACCCCGTCTTTAGTAAAAATACAAAAATTAGCTGGGCGTGGTGGCGCGCGCCTGTAATCCCAGCTACTTGGGAGGCTGAGGCAGGAGAATCGCTTAAACCTGGGAGGCAGAGGTTGCAGTGAGCCGAGACTGTGCCACTGCACTCCAGCCTGGGCAACAAGAGCGAAACTCTGTCTCAGGGGGAAAAAAATGTGGGTACACTGTTGGTAAAGTTTCAGAGGTAAAGGTATCTATTCTTGATGTAACGTCTTAAGTGTTACACTAGAATTAGGCAAGTCAAAGAGCATTTTTAATAGAATTGATGGATTTTCTTTCCCTACTCATAATTCCACTAAGAAGAACCTTGAAGGGAAATATCAGTATCCCCTTGAATCTCAGCAGTGCCATTGACTAACGTCCTGCGGCTGTTTGTGCGCTTCCTGGCAGGTTTTTCACAGTGCAGTCCAATGACTGCCTAGGGGATTTCTTAAAGCATGGCTGACTGCATGTTGGGGTTTGCATGGGAGATTTTTGGTTAGCCTCATGGTGGTGGTTGGAAGTAAAATGTTTGTGGCAAGTTTGAAAAGTTCTCTGCTGACCTACTCTTTGCATTTCAGAAAATCTGTGTTATCAGATGACCACTGAACTATGAGCTATGAAAATGCCTGTCATTTTCCATTCCATTTGTTGTTACTTGGTTTGGGCTGTGTTCGTGCTGTCCTTCTGTTGGGATCACAAATCCTGCAATGAATAGCTACGATTTAAATATACATACACTCATCGTAAAAAAAAAATCTGACAGCTGGTATAGTTTGAGCTTGTCTTGCTTTTAAGTGTGATTATCCTTTTGGAGATCCAGGGGCTCTGATTTCTGGGCAACAGCATCCTTGATCAACATGCAGTGTTATTGAGGCCTCTCTGCTTTCTTGCATATTAATCACACAGCAATGTTCAATAGCTTTTCCTAATGAAAAATTTTCTAGTCAATTTAAACATCTTTTTAAAAAAGAAAGAAAGAAATCGTTGTCTGTACAGTCTACAGGAAAGTATTTTCCCTCCCTGATGTTAGGAAGAAGACTTAAACTGCGTAAGGGAGAGGTGGTCAGATGCACTCATTAAACGACGAGAATACTTGGATGAACAGATAAAAAAAGTCAGCAATAAAACAGGTATGTGAGATCAAACTCTCTTTTGGGGAGTACCTTTTTCACTTTTACACAATGGCAGTAGGTTGTTTTCTTCCCCTAACTGGTCAGTAGTATCTTATTTTTGTTGTTGTCGTTGTTGTTTTAAGACAGGGTCTCACTCTGTCACCCAAGCTGGAGTGCAGTGGCAGGATCATATCTCACTGCAGCCTCTAACTCCTGACCTCAAGAGATCCTCCTGCCTCAGCCTCCTGACTAGCTGAGACTATAGACACAAGCTACCACACCCAGCTAATTTTTAAATGTTTTATAGATGGGAGGGGTCTCACTTTGTTGCCCAGGCTGGTCTCAAACTCCTGGACTCAAGTGATCCTCCCACTTCAGCCTCCCAAACTGCTAGAATTGCAGGTGTTAGCCACTGTACCCAGCCTGTTTAGTTTTGTGAACTTGTAACAGTTATAGACATTAGTCAATCATATTATACATTGTTGGTTTAAGAAGCCTCCAAATTTGAAAGTGATACATTTTCATAAAACTCTGAGTTATCTCATAAAACTGTGACATTAAATGTCAAATTCAAATTTCATTTTGATGAACACAATGTGATAAATACCAGTATGTCAATACAAAGTACTTTAGGCACCAGGACCTAGGACATACAGCAACTGAATGAGCAGGTCAGCACCTATCCACTGTTGGGCCATTGCCATGCACTCCGCTGGTTCAGGGTGGCCCCTGCAGCTCCATTCACTGCCACCCACCTCCAAGGGTGCAGCTTGCTTATGCTAGCAGTAACCACTTGGATTCTATAGTAGAAATATGCACTTAAAATCCTTAGTCTCTCATCCAGATATCATGGTCCACTCACGTGGTTGGTTCTGCAGCAAAGAACACACACATCATGCATGTTAATCCATTTCATGTAGAAGCTAGCGGAAAGTCTCCCTCAGGAAAACACCTTGGCTCGACATGTGGTGTTGCCTTGTGTATGTGCTCTGGCTGCTAATGAAAACTCACTTTGACTGTACCCAGGGAGCCCCAGAGTTGAATTATGAATAAGCGGATTTCAAAGTGTATCAAATAAAATCCCATTCATGGTAAGCCTCAAGGAAAATAAAGGTGATTTTACAGAGTAAGGAATATGGTGGGTTTTTTATTTTTTATTTATTTATTTATTTTTTTGAGACAGAGTCTCGCTCTGTCGCCCAGGCTGGAGTACAGTGGCACGATCTTGGCTCACTGCAACCTCCTCCTCCCGGGTTCAAGTGATTCTCCTGTCTCAGCCTCCTGAGTAGCTGGGACTACAGGTGCCCGCCACCACACCCGGCTAATTTTTGTATTTTTAGTGGAGACAGGGTTTTACCATATTGGTCAGGCTGGTTTCGAACTCCTGACCTCAGGAGATCTGCCCGCCTCGGCCACCCAAAGTACTGGGGTTACAGCCGTGAGCCACCGTGCCCAGCCTATGGTGTTTTTTAATCCTCTGTCTTTGTAACATCATGTATAGTTCTGTAAAGCAGTGTCACGTCCATATTTCATTTGATCCTTCCAGCAAGTACATGAAGTAGACATGACTTCTTTTATCCCTGTTTGACAGGTTAGGGAGACTCATCTGTTGGATAACTTCCCCAAGTTACAGAACCAGCAAAATAACCTAAGTCTCGTAATTGCTTTTCCAATGCCCTTTCTGCTATTTCTGGCTTATGGTTCCTTAAATTGGTGTCACAGCCCCTCTCAGCTCCCTATACATGCTCTTGCTTGAACTTCAAAAACTCAAATCCATTTTAGGGACATAGTGGATGTTTAAGCCACTTACAGATAGCACTGAATGAAATCTCTTTATTGTTTTGTTTGCTTGTTTTTTGAGACAGGGTCTCTTGTCTGTTTTCCAGGCTTTAGTAGAGTGATGTGATGATAGCTCACTGTAGCCTTGAACTCCCAGACTCAAGTGATCTTCCCACCTCAGCTGCCCGAGTATCTGGGACTACAGGCGTGCGTGCCGCCACCCTGCCCAACTATTGCTGTTGTTTTTTTCTCCTGAGTAGCTGGGAGTACAGGCCTGTGCCACCATTTTTTTTTTTTTTTTTTTTTGGTAGGGATGGGGTCTCACTATGTTGCCCAGGCCAAAATCTGTTCCTTATAAATTGAGAAGTCATACTTTCTCTCTTGTTGGCATTGATCCCCTCATTTTTTTCTGCAGAGAAAACAGAGGACGATGTGGAGCGGGAAGCCCAGCTTGTGGAGCAGTGGGTAGGGCTGACGGAGGAAAGGAATGCTGTACTGGTGCCGGCCCCAGGCAGTGGGATTCCTGGGGCACCTGCCGACTGGTAAGGCTGCCCTCCCTTCTGTGCAGACCGAGGGAGATGAAATGGTATAGGTCGCCTGTGGCAAGAGCCATGCAAGAGACTTTCCAGGATTGTCACAGAAAATGCCAACCAGCTGAACTGCTTAGGGAATGTCCACTCATCTCTAGTGCTTCCATCCCTTTTTTCCTTCCCCATTGAAGCCAGCTTTCTCCCACAGGAAGCCAGAGAGCATTGATTACCTGGCCAGAAATCACATATCCCACTCCTCTATTCCTCTGCATAAGCAACTTGGACATTGTTCCCTGATCTCCAGAAACTCTTTTATCTTGGCTGGAAAGTATTTGAAGAGGGCAGAAAATACATTATTGGAGCTGTCTTTTTGGTAGTACTGTGAGAATTAGAGATAATGTATATAAAATACCTTTTATATCATAATATTATCTTATATATTATAATGTGTATAAAATACTTTTCATACCCATTTGTTAAATCCTAGCTGATGCTGCTTATTCTCATTCTCATTTTTATTATTATATATCCAGGGCATTTAAGAGAAATCAGATTCCTTTTGAACACAGAATGTACATGCCCAGATAGTCTTTTTTGAACAGGCATAGGAACATTAGTGACAATACCCGCATCTCTAATGATAAACGGAAATGTAATCAATTTCGTGGTCTATTTTCTGAAACTAGAAACTGAATCTGCAGGCACATAATTTATAACCTGATGTTTCTCCCTGCAGTTCCTGCTGTTATGCTGGAATCCTGTAGGTCTCTTGCAGTAATTCTACCAGCCACTTCTTATGGACAGCCTGCTCACCCCAATCTTGTTCTGGCCCTCAAAACCCTCTCTAGACAGTTCTTCTCCCTACTTCAGTCTCTCTGGTGTAAAGTGTTTTGAAACTTCAGATCATCTTGAGTGTTTGTAACATGTAGGTCTGGGTGTCATCCCTAGTTATTTTGATTCAGAAGAGAAAGGAAGGACCTGCGACTCTTCTTTTATTTTTTTAAGTAAGAATTTGCTTTTTTTTTTGAGACGGAGTCTCACTCTGTCGCTGAGATCTCCTCTCACTGCAAGCTCCGCCTCCCGGGTTCACGCCATTCTCCTGCCTCAGCCTCCCAAGTAGCTGGGACTACAGGCGCCCGCCACCGTGCCCAGCTAATTTTTGTATTTTTAGTAGAGACGGGGTTTCACCGTGTTCGCCAGGATGGTCTCCAGGATGGTCTCGATCTCCTGACATCGTGATCCGCCCATCTCGGCCTCCCAAAGTGCTGGGATTACAGGCGTGAGCCACCGCGCCCAGCCAGGAATTTGCATTTCTAAAGGGACTCTTCACTTTCAGAGGCCTCTGAGGCGGTTCTGTTGCAGCTGGGCAAGTTGGGGTTTTTTGTTTGTTTTTTATTTTTTTGAGGCAGGGTCTGTTTCCCAGGCTGGAGTACAGTGGCACGATCTCAGTGCACTGCAACCTCCATCTCCCAGGTTCAAGCCATCCTCCCACCTCCCAAGTAGCTGGGACCACAGGCTTGTACCACCACACCCAGCGAGTGTTTTTTGTTGTTTTTTTTTTTTATTATAGAGACAAGGTCTCCCTGTGTTGCCCAGACTGGTCTTGAACTCCTGTCCTCAAACCATCCTCCTGCCTTGGCCTCCCAAAGTGCTGGGATTACAGGCATGAGCCACCGCGCCCATCCCTGGTCCAGTTTTTGATAAAACACTGCTTGATCTCTTCTGTACACAACTCTACCTCCTTTCACACATCTTTCATTCTATCCTCCTTTCAGCTTTTGTTTACTTCTTCTAGGCTCTGATCCTGTCCCATTACCACCCTAATAACATCCCCCTTCCCTTTCCCTCTCACGGGAATTATTTTTAGAAAGGCTTAAAATAATCTTTGTTTCAATTAATTGCATGTAACTCATATAACTGGAAGTTCTTTTGTGTAAGTCATATAATTCCCATGATTTATGTCTACAGGGAAGTCAAGAAATATGAAAGTATTTCATTAGTGGAAACTGCATCTCCACCATGGTTCTCTTTGCTTCCACGGCTCTGCGGTGTTTTATCAGCTAACAAGATGTAAAATACATATTTTGTTATGATTAAATGTTGTTATTAAATTTAGGATCCCACCTCCTGGAATGGAAACCCACATACCAGTTCTTTTCCTCGATTTGAATGGTAAGTAGACACTTAAAGTCACAGGGATTATTGTATTTAATTAAGGTTTGTAATCTATTCAGACTCACCTTATTTTGATCCTTAAATCACTCTTCTAATCATTCATGTGCCAAATTAGGTGACATTTTTGTTCTAATTAAATGTACGTAAGCATGATTATGTGGATAATTTTAAAAAGAGCACGTAGGGTGATTGAGAACTGCATACAAGAGCATTAACACAGTTGCTCTGAAACAGCGGACATAGAAATTACCCTGGAAAGTAATCACCCCCAGAGATTCTGAGTCTTTAGGCTTGGCAAGGGCCTATTAGTCTGCATTTCTGACTAGTGTTCTTAACTCTCCTCAAACAGTTTTGATGGCAGAAATGATCACACTATAACGCTGCCTTCAGAGTTGTCCTTCATACTGCAATTACATGGAACCTGGGCAAGTCTAGAACAATGGTTTCCAACGTGCTTTAGCGGAGCAATCCTTTTCTAGACGAAATATTAACCGGAACCCCACGTGTAGAAAACAACCGCAGAGCTGCTGAGTTTGCGGTGGGCAAGCTCCTGGTAGATCCTTTGGCAGGGCCCTAGGGCTCCTCAAAACACAGCCTGAAAACCTCTGTTCTAGAAGGAAGCCCACTAATGGATGGAAGACACAGGGAGGGTGGCTTTGGCTCTTCATGTGAAGAATTTTTTCTTTTTAAAGCCTAGATGTTGAATGTATGCCTCATAAGATAGTGAGTTCTCTGTCTTGGGAGGTATATAAACAAAGACTAGTTGGCCATTTACAGAGATTTGGGTAAACCCCATATTGGATAGGACGTTGGAAGAAGATAATCTTCATATTTCTCCCAGTGCTCAGAACTTTGATTTAAATAGGTAATTTAACTGCTAAAATCTCTAATTTATGGTAAGTTATTAAGTAGGATAACAAACCTAACAGTTTACAGGAGGAATTGACATCAGAAAGCAGCAAAATTCTAAGATTTGTTTTGTTTAGGTTTTTTTGAGACAGGGTCTCACTCTGTCACCCAGGCTGGAGTGCAGTGGCGTGATCTCAGCTCACTGCAACCTCCGCCTCCTGTGTTCAAGCAATTTTCTGCTTCAGCCTCCCATGTAGCTGGGATTACAGGCACCCACGACCACGCCCGGCCAATTTTTGTATTTTTAATAGAGACGGGGTTTCACCATCTTGGCCAGGCTTGTCTTACACTCCTGACCTTGTGATCCACCCACCTTGGCCTCCCAAAGTTCTGGGATTACAGGCGTGAGCCACCGCGCCCAGCCTCCAAGGTGTGTTTAATGAATATATTTGTACCTAGGACAACAATAGAATATAGTCATTCTGTCTTATAGGAGACTCACAAGGCAACTTTTTGGCTCCTATTGTATTTTTAAAGAATAAAAGCGGCCAGGCGCGTTGGCTCATGCCTGTAATCCCAGCACTTTGGGAGGCTGAGACAGGTGGATCACGAGTTCAAGAGATGGAGACCATCGTGGCCAATGTGGTGAAACCCCATCTCTACTAAAAATACAAAAATTAGCTGGGCGTGGTGGTGCACACCTGTAGTCCCAGCTACTTGGGAAGCTGAGGCAGGAGAATCGCTTGAACTTGGGAGGCGGAGGTTGCAGTGAGCTGAGATTGCGCCACTGCACTCCAACCTGGGCGACAGAGTGAGACTCTGTCTCAAAATAAAAAAGAATAAAAGCTGTGGGGCATGGTGAGCTTGTGCCTGTAATCCCAGGGCTTTGGGAGGCCAAGGCAGGAGGACTGCTTGAGTCCAGGAGTCGGAGACCAGCCTGGGCAACAAAGCTGGACTGCATCCCTACAAAAAATTTTACAGAGTAGCCAGGCATAGTGGTGTGTACCTGCAGTACTAGCTACTCAGGAGGCTGAGGCGGGAGGATCTCTTGAGCCCAGAAGTTCAAGGCTGCAGTGAGCTATGATCAGGCCATGCACTCAAGCATCAGCAACAGAGCAAGACCTTGTCTCAAAAAAAAGCCAAGTACAGTGGCTCACAACTGTAATCCCAGCATGTCGGGAAGCCAAGGCAGGAAGATGCATTGAGTCTAGGAGTTCAAGACCAGACTGGACAACATAGTAAGACCTCATCTCTATTAAACATAATAATTTTTAAAAAAGAAAAAAAACTGTTGTGAGTCTTGGAGTCTCTATTTCAGCTGCAGGATAAGGAATGAAAGAAAAAGTAAAGATGTGTTATGTGTAAACGTCAACTGTAGGCTGGGCGCAGTGGCTCACGCCTATAATCCCAGCACTTTGGGAGGCCGAGGCGGGTGGATCACGAGGTCAGGAGATCGAGACCATCCTGGCTAACACAGTGAAACCCCGTCTCTACTAAAAAAAAAAAAAATTAGCCGGGCATGGTAGTGGGCACCTGTAGTCCCAGCTACTCGGGAGGCTGAGGCAAGAGAATGGTGTGAACCCTGGAGGTGAAGCTTGCAGTGAGCCGAGATCACGCCACCGCACTCCAGCCTGGGCAACACAGCAAGACTCCGTCTCAAAAACAAAACAAAACAAAACAAAAACAAAAAACGTCAACTGTAAAAAGCATATATTTAAATTTTTGGTGTTTGCTGAAAAACTGACTTTCCCCTACTGTTTTTTCTGTGCCCCTGATGTGGTTAGCGGATGACCTCAGTGCCAATGAGCAGCTTGTCGGCCCCCATGCGTCCGGCGTGAACTCCATTCTGCCCAAGGAGCATGGCAGCCAATTTTTCTACCTGCCCATCATAAAGCACAGTGATGATGAGGTAATTCACCTCCATGTTTCTCTTAAAAGGCTTCAGATTAGCACACAAGCCTGTGGGCCTGCTTTCCCACTCAACTGCTATAGTTTGCTTTGGGGAGAAAGACTGGGGCCTTTAAAAAACAGAACATTTGTGTTGCTGTTTTAAAAAAGTGAGGAAAGAAATATATTTGATTACAGTGATTTGAATTTATTTTCTTTCTCTTGTATGCCCTGTAAAACTGCTACGGCTGACCTGTGTCTTGTTTCCGTCTCCTCATCATTCCCTCACTCGTAGGTTTCAGCCACAGCCTCTTGGGATTCCTCGGTGCATGATTCTGTTCATTTGAATAGGGTCACACCACAGAATGAAAGGATTTACCTAATTGTGAAAACCACAGTTCAACTCAGCCACCCTGCTGCTATGGAGTTAGTATTACGAAAACGGATTGCAGCCAATATTTACAACAAACAGGTAATAACAGGGCCTGATTCTGCCATTCTGGCTCTGAGCTCAAAGTTTTTTCCCCCTATCTAGCACAAAGCAGTGTTTTTTGGTGCTAATGTAGGGGATGTGGCAAAACATGACCATCCTGGCCGAGTTAGAGTCTGATTCTCATTTATCCAAGATAGTGGGCATTAGGATAGCAGAGGTCAATGTCATCCAGTAAGGGCATTTTCACCTTGACTGATTGGAGAGGTATAATCCTACCAGGCGGTGAAGCTGTGATATTTCACTGTTTGAAAAGTAGAAAAACGGAGGCTGAGAGATGAAGTGCCAGGTCCAGGCAGGTGAGTGACAAAACCAGGACAAAAGGCAGACTCCAAACAAATCCCTATCCTACTGCTTTGACGGATGCCGTCTCAGAGGTTCTGTCAGTGAAACTGATCCTCTCCAGTGTTGTTCTAGCCATCTCAGGAAAGACTGATTAAACCCTGGAGAGATCACAGGAAGGCAGCAGATGGGAGAGAGAAGCAACCACAGAAATCCTGAACATGCTACAGATTCTGTAGTCGAATTCCCAACTAACAGCTGGACGTTAGTGTCCCTTGGGGTTGGAGACAGGGATTCTTAGCTTCAGTTTTTTTCTGTTGTATGCTGATTATTGTGCATATCAAAAACATATTAACTGGTAATGCTTTTACAATTTGTAAAATACGAAATAACTTACCTTTGTTACATAGCTTAATCCAGCTTTTTTTTTTTTTTCCTACCAGAGTTTCACGCAGAGTTTGAAGAGGAGAATATCCCTGAAAAATATTTTTTATTCCTGTGGTGTAACCTATGAAATAGTATCCAATATACCAAAGGTAAAATATATGCTACTTTAGGCCGGGCGCGGTGGCTCATGTCTGTAATCCCAGCACTTTGAGAGGCCGAGGCGGGTGGATCATCTGAGGTCGGGAGTTCAAGACCAGCCTGACCAACATGGAGAAATCGTGTCTCTACTAAACATACAAAATTAGCCGGGTGTGGTGGCACATGCCATAATCCCAGCTACTCAGGAAGGCTGAGACAGGAGAATCGCTTGAACTTGGGAGGCAGAGGTTGTGGTGAGCTGAGATCGCGCCTTTGCACTTCAGTCTGGGCAACAAGAGCGAAACTCTGTCTCAAAAAAAAAAAAATTATATATATTAAAAAATATCAATATCTAAATAATGGAGAATGTGTTCATTCTCCAGATTTTTTGGATGAAAACATTGTTCACATCAAAGTATTGTCATTTCCTTCCTGTCCTTTTAGGCAACTGAGGAGATAGAAGACCGGGAAACGCTGGCTCTCCTGGCAGCAAGGAGTGAAAACGAAGGCACGTCAGATGGGGAGACGTACATTGAGAAGTACACTCGAGGCGTGCTGCAGGTGGAAAACATTCTGAGTCTTGAACGGCTCCGGCAGGCAAGTAACTGAATATCTGGACCGAGAATGAAATCACCAGCCTTCACCCCCAGTGGACAGATATGAATTTACTTACCAAACACCTCACTAAATCTATCAGAGAAGGAGCACTTGAGCCATCTCCGTTGAAAGGACTCTGGCAAAATAGTAACCAAAATAAAAATAGTGACTAACTTTTATTGAATACTCCCTACTTGCCAAGCACTGAGCCTGAGCAATTTAGATATATTATTTCATTTAATCTTCAAGATAACCCCCTGAGGTAAGTACTGTTGAAATCCCCATTTTCAAATGACAGAATTGAGGCTGACAGAAGTTAGCTAGCTCACCCATGGTTCCACAGCTAGGAAGGGGTACAAAGTCAGATGTAAAGCCAAACAGCTTGACTCCAAAGGGCATATGCTTAACCACAGACTATTACTGTCTCCCTGATTTTTAGACCTGCGTTAACTTTTGAGGTGACAACAGGACATTCAAGAGAAAATAATCCACTAAGTAATGGAACTATAAGACAAGATATGTCATTTCATAGGAGCAGTAGTTGACATTATGGGGGGTGGGTGTTGATTAATAGGAGGAATGTAATTGGCATCTGTCAGAAAAATCTTCCCTTAGTGGAAATCCCACCTGAATTGCTGCATGAGCAAAATACAAACAGCATCACACTTCATTGTCATTTTGCAAATTAGATATATGGTTAGAGATACCTCTTCTACATTTCTCTGTCCACCTGTATAAAAATTTCACAACATAAATATCTTTCATTCTGCTGTTTTCCTGGTTTTATTTACTTGTTTGTTTATTTTTGAGACAGAATCTTGCTCTGTCGCACAGGCTGGAGTGCAGTGGCGTGATCTCAGCTCACTGCAACCTCTGCCTCCCAGGTTCAAGCAACTGTAGTGCCTCAGCCTTCCAGAGAGATGGAACCACAGACACCCGCCACCACGCCCAGCTAATTTTTGTATTTTTTAGTAGAGACAGGGTTTTACCATGTTGGCCAGCTGGTCTCAAACTCCTGTCTGTGATCCACCTGCCTCAGTGATCCACCTGCCTCAGCCTCCCAAAGTGCTGGAATTACAGACATGAACCACCACACCCTGCAGTTTTATTTATCTTAAAAAAATGTTTTTGAGGCCAGGCGCAATAGTGCACGCCTGTAATCCCAGCACTTTGGGAGGCTGAGGCAGGTGGATCGCGAGGTCAGGAGTTTGAGACCAGCCTGACCAACATGGTGAAACCTCGTCTCTACTAAAAATACAAAAATTAGCCGGGTGTGGTGGCGTGCACCTGTAATCCCAGCTACTCAGGAGGTTGAGGCAGGAGAATTGCTTGAATCTGGGAGGCAGAGGTTGCAGTAAGCCGAGACTGCGCCACTGCACTCCAGCCTGAGCAACAGAGCGAGACTCTGTCTCAAAAAAGAAAGTTTTTGATAAATTGCTAAGCAAATAATAATAAATGGGTAAAATAATATTTCAGTTTTATAAATGTGTGTGTATATAGAACTGATGTAGTCTATATTTAAATCTATAAATAAACATATGTTACTTTTATAATTAGAATAAAACATAAAGTAATGGCCGGGTGCGGTGGCTCATGCCTGTAATACTAACACTTTGGGAGGCCGATGTGGGCAGACTGCCTGAGCTCAGGAGTTCGAGACCAGCCTGGGCAACACAGTGAAACCTCGTCTCTACTAAAATACAAAAAAAAAAAAAAAAAATTAGCCAAGTGTGGTGGTGTGCGCCTGTAGTCCCAGCTACTCGGGAGGCTGAGGCAGGAGAATTGCTCGAACCTGGGAGGCGGAGGTTTCAGTGAGCTGAGATCGCATCACTGCACTCCAGCCTGGGCAACAGAGTGAGACTCCATCTCTGGAAGAAAAAAAAAAAGTACTATTTTCAAATTATTGTGTTTACAGGCCGTCACAGTCAAGGAAGCACTTTCCACCAAAGCCCGGCACATTCGGAGGAGCCTCAGTACACCAAATGTTCATAACGTAAGTGCATCCTGCCAAGGATCTGCTCCTATGTGACATGTCTCAGGCTCTGGGGTGGGGGAAGGTGGGGTTCACACAGTGGCAATAGAGCTTATGGCCCTGTTGTGGGCATCCCGAAGTGTAGCCTGCTTCTCTGTACCAGGGACGCACACCAGGGAGCACAGTTGTCTAAGACTGAGCCATTTGTTCAATCTTGTGAATTCCTGTTCAGCAAGTTATCTCCTTGAAAGAAGTTCCTTAAGATATAAATTGAGTTTAGTTGGTTAGAGATGGTGGAGTCAGCTATGAATCCTGGCAGCTGAGTCCCTGGATGCTGGCTGTGCCAGGGTCAGCTGCATGTAGGCACTCTTGGAGTGCCTAGTTGTTCCTTTGACCATTTTGATTATTTTTTTCAACCAGTTCATCTAGAAAATCCAATTGACAGAAACTGATTCTAGCAGGGGGGGCACTGTCACAGAGACAGATTAGTGCATGGACCACTTCAAAGCAGCCGCTTCCCAGAAGCAGCTGAGTAGAAGTAAGGTCTTTCCAGGGAAAACCACAGGCTTATTTGCCTTCCTATTCTCCAGAATTGCCAGAAAATTATTTTAAACATGATGACCACTTACAAAAATTGTCCTCCAGTGGGCTACAGAGCAAATCCCAGTAATCTTTATCACACAGATTACTTCTTCTGACCACAATGCGTTTATTAGAAATAGATAGGAGAGACTCATGTAGTTGTAAATTGAAAAACGCTTTTCATGAACTCATCTCTCAAAGAAGAAATTATGATGGAAATTAGGATGTATTTACAACTAAATGAGAATAAACGTGGTACTAGATCAATGTTTGTGAGATGCAGTTAAAGTGGTACTTAGACATTATTAGCCCTAAATTCCCTATAATTCTGTATAAAGCAGAATACTAGACAGTAGAAAAAAATGAGAGAATGAGGGCTACTATTAGGAAATTTATAGCTCTCATATTAAAAAATAGAGTGAAAAAGAATTAGGTAAACATCTAGCTTAAAAAGTAAAGAAGACCGGGCATGGTGGCTCACGCTTGTAATCCCAGCACTTCGGGAGGCTAAGGTGGGCAGATCACCTGAGGTCGGGAGTTCGAGACCAGCCTGACCAACATGGAGAAACCCCGTCTCTACTAAAAATACAAAATTAGCCAGGCATGGTGGCACCTGCCTGTAATTCCAGCTGCTCGGGAGGCTGAGGCAGGAGAATCACTTGAACCCGGGAGGCGGAGGTTGCGGTGAACCGAGATTATGTCCTTGCACTCCAGCCTGGGCAACAAGAGCGAAACTCTGTCTCAAAAAAAAAAATAAAGAAAAACTGCTTATGAAGTAATCTTAAAAAACAGGTTTTTTCCAACCTCAATCTGATCAAGACTTTAGATTTCTTTGGGAAGCCAAGGTGAGAGGATTGCTTGAGGCCAGGAATTTGAGACCAGCCTGGGCAACAGAGCGAGACCTCATAACCTAACGTTATGCCAATAAATGTAAAAACTTAAATAAAGTGGAATGTCCTGTAAAAACTGAATCAAGAATAAATAGAAAACCTGAATACAGCTATCACCAAAAAGAAGGACTATACTGAAATAGTGACTATGACTATGCTCATTGATGAGAATTCACAGTATCAAAAAATTGGCATGTCCTTAAGCTAATCATTCTCAACAGAATTTTTTGTAAGATTTGATAAACTGATTCTAAAACCTATATGGAAAAGCAGTCAAAATATACTCATACTTTATGTACAACCCCGAGATTTCATCCCTTAGATATATACTCTAGAGATTCTCATAAATATACAGGTTGTATTTAGAACTAAATGATACTAAAAATAGTACACATATCAATACTTGTCTAGACTATTGAATAAGACTATATGTAGTAAGATACCACTTATGTGAAGTATAAAATATGCAAAATAGAAATTTCACCATGGCATACCGTGGCCAGGGCCAGAAAGTACAGAAGGTTATGGTGCAGCCCATCAACCTCATCTTCAGAAGCTTACAAAATAGATCGCAGATTCAGGTGTGGCTCTATGAGCAAGTGAATATGTGGATAGAAGGCTGTATCATTGGTTTTGATGAGTATATGAACCTTGTATTAGATGATGCAGAAGAGATTCATTCTAAAACAAAGTCAAGAAAACAACTGGGTCGGATCATGCTGAAAGGAGATAATATTACTCTGCTACAAAGTGTCTCCAACTAGAAATGATCAATGAAGTAAGAAATTGTTGAGAAGAATACAGTTTGTTTTTAGATGTCCTTTGTCTAATATGAACATTTATTCATATTGTTTTGATTACCCTTGTGTTATACAAGATGGCAATAAATGCTGTGGGATTGTTTGTGTTAAAAAAATAAAAATAAATAAATAAATAAATAAAATATGCAAAATAATATTAACTATTGGTTATGAGTATATACACATACAATTATATAAAACTTGTATGGGAAAAATAAACCCCAAATTGAGAGTATTCACTACTCCTGGAGAGGGAAGAAAGAGGAGGGAAAGAATGAAGACTACAGGCTTCAACTGTGACATTCTTTTTCTTTATATAAAAAAAAAATTATATTAAATATATAAACCATATTGCTAAAACCATTCTTCTCTTATAGGTCTCTTCCAGCCGACCAGACCTTTCTGGCTTTGATGAAGATGATAAGGTATGCACCTATGGGCATGGCTGGGTTTTCAGCAGAATCTCAGTCTGGAAAGCTGTGGGATCTTGGTGTGTTTAAAATCTCTGGGCCTTACCTGGTTGATCCTGTCATTTAAAAAAAAAAAAGAAAGAAAGAAAAAGAAAAATCTCTGGGCTTCCCATCTTAATTGTAAGCAAATAACTCTCTCCACAACTCCATTCCCAGGTTCAAATACTTGATGTGGTATTGCTATGCACTTTTTTTTTTTTTTTGAGACAGAGTTTCACTCTTCTTGCCCAGGCTGGAGTGCAGTGGCACGATTTTGGCTCACTGTAACTTCCGCCTCCCTGGTTCAAGTGGTTCTCCTGCCTCAGCCTCCCAAGTAGCTGGGATTATAGTGGTTTGCCACCACACCTGGCTAATTTTGTATTTTTAGTAGAGATGGGGTTTCGCCATGTTGGCCAGGCTGGTCTCGAACTTCTGACCTCAGGTGATTGATGCGCCTTGGCCTCCCAAAGTGTTGGGATTACAGGCGTGAGCCACCATGCCCAGCTAATTGCTACGCGCTTTTAGTATTACATTGTTACTTACCATGATAAGTTCCATACCAGGACAGTACCACACATAATTGAATAAATATCTGTGTGTTTGTGGGTTTAACTCTAAATGATTGGAGAAGGTGTTACATCCACCATAGCATAATCAAAATTATTTCAAATGGATAAAACGAGATTTAAAATTAAGGACAGATTGCAACATTATCTTATTCAACAAATATTTCTTGAATGCATATTATATATGAGTTACTGTGCTAGAGACTAGATCCAAAAGGTATAAGCACAGATTTATGTCCTTAAGAAGTTTAAAATTTAGTCCTCAGAGGCAATCAACTTCTGAGAAGTTGAAATAAGATTAAGTAAGCTCGTATGATATGCCAGAGTTTTCTCTATTTTGTATATCAGTACTTTATGCCTATTTGAAACTTCTAAATCTCAAATATAGGTAGAGTAACCACACTGCCAAATTTGCCTTGGACAGTCCCAGCTGTGCCTGCTACCTAGGCAGAATTACTGATGGAACAGTGGTCCTCTGAGAGTGTTTCAATTTGGTCATTAAATTACCAAGTCACTCTGGATATATGCCACATTGCTCAAAGTGACTACCTTTGGGGAGGAAGGAAGATGAATGGGACCAAAAGATTACACTACATTTGTAATAATTTTATTAAACCTTTGAGCAAATATAATAAAATATTAACGTTTACTCACTCTGGGTATACCTTGGGTATGACAGTATTTTTAACAATATTCAGCCCTTTTCTGTATATTTGACATATTTCATAATAAAAATAAGAGCATATACTGCCATTAAAAAAAATAGAAGAAACTCCAACCTGGGCTTTGTTTCTCATTTTAGAATGACTCAATTACAGTTAACTCGTATTTTTACCTTGTAGGGTTGGCCAGAGAACCAGCTGGACATGTCTGACTACAGCTCCAGTTACCAAGATGTAGCATGTTATGGAACTTTACCCAGGGATTCTCCTCGAAGGAATAAAGAAGGCAGTGGTGAGATTATTTTGCAGTGATATTTCTTTGTAGTTACTTAGAAAAAGTGTGAAAAAATGTCTTTCATTAATGGCATATAATAAGGTATGGAGCTGATATTCTAGTTAACTAAATGATTCAAAACTGTCTTACTGAATGGAACATATCACGTTCACTTATTTATTTTTGTTTTGTATGCAACATATCACTCAAATAGGCTTTTTGTATATCACTTTAGAACTTCCAAATCATTTTTCATATATCATTTCCTGACTTTGAAGTCGTTTTGAGACACACGCAAATCCTATTATTTTCTACCAGAAGAATATCCAGCTTTGTCATGTTTGTGTACTGAAAGGAATTTTTAAAAGAACATAACTTTGATTCATAAAGCAGTTTTCAAAAATGATACCCAAAATGAGTTTGATTCATGGTAACATTATTACCTAAATTATGTAGTCTACCAGTGCCTTAATGGGAACTGTATTCTTTGGCCATATGTATCAGTTCTGTTACCTTATACCTTATATCAGTAGGTAAAATATAAGGTGTATTCGCCATTATACTAGCAAATTGGAAAGGGAGGAAAGAGGCCAAAGAGATAAGAAATGATACAAGCAAGAAAGAATTGTCCTCTCTTAGTCATATAGAGCAGGGTGGCCCAATGGGGGAGAAAAAAGAGGCTCGCAAGAAAATTTACACAGTATTAATTCATTGAGTACTTATTGAGCCTCTACTTTCTGTCTTAAAATATAATTATGGAAATAAGATACACAGAAAATAAGATGTTAAATGATAAGGTGCCAAAATGAACATGCAGATAATAAGGGCTGTGAAAATTCAGAGAAATGGAAAATCAGCATGAGCTGAAATTGGTCTGGTTAGTGGTGCTTAAGCTGGATCTTGAAAAGAGTGAAGAAATTTGGTATCTCACCTTGTTCACACACACTAGCACTTTAGTAACTCTTGGTGACTTCACAGATTTATCTCTATTCTTGCCTACATCTGTTCCATAGTTTTTTGGGTTTTTTTGTTTGTTTTTTTTTTTGGTTTTTTGTTTTTGTTTTTAGACAGGGTCTCTCTCTCTCTTGCCCAGTCTGGAGTGCAGTGGCACCGCTATAACTCACTGCAGCCTCAACCCCTGGGGCTCAAGCGATCTTCTCGCCTCAGCCTCCTGAGTAGCAAGTCCAGCAGGTGCACGCCACCATGCCTGGCTATCTGTTTATTTATTTTTTTACAGACTGGTCTCCCTATGTTGCACAGGGTGGGCGTACCTCTGTTTTAATGTTTAGCCAAATATTAGCCTATGAATTTCATTGTTCTCCTAGATATTCCCATGACTGGGTCATTGCCTCATTTCCTATGTTTTGCTTAAAAAGTATTCAGTATCTGTAACCTCATAACTTCTCATCTTCCCCAGGTTGTACATCAGAGACTCCTCATGCCTTAACTGTCAGCCCTTTTAAAGCATTCTCTCCTCAGCCGCCAAAGTTTTTCAAGCCCCTGATGCCTGTAAAAGAGGAGCATAAGAGAAGGATAGCCCTTGAAGCACGGCCTCTTCTAAGCCAGGAGGTAAATGCTTGACTTGTCTGTACTATGCAGAATAGAGCAGAGTTGTGTCGCCTGTGAAGCAGCAGTGTGCCTTAACAAGCTGAGTGCTGCACGTAGACATGCATGGTCATCACTCCATGGATCCCGTTCTGGAATTCCTCTTTCTCAAGCATGCAGAGTCATGGTAGAATCTCTTGTTTGTTATTGCTGCTTTGGTTTTATTTCTTTGTGTTTATGGCTTTTCAAAGTATTTTTTTATGTTTCAAGTGAGAAAGATGTTTTCTAGGTGTTTCGAAAAGATTAAAGGCCTTTTTTAAAAGTATTTTTCTTTTTTGTCTTTTTGGGATTTCTAATTTTGTTTTTTATAGAGATAGGGTCTTGCTATGTTGCCCAGGCTGGTCTTAAACTCCTGGCCTCAAGTGATCCTTTTGCCCCAGTCTCCCAAGGCACTGGGATTACAGGCGTGAGCCATTGTACCTGGTCAAAAGGCTGTTTTTTTAAAATAAGACTAATTATGCTTTTTGCCACAGAATCTGTTTATTCCTGTCATATTTCTCCAGTAGTTTAACTCTGGCCTGCAGAATTGGCTGCTGCATTACTCACATGTAATAAGAGTGTTAGCACTGCTTTTCTAACTTGCATGTACTTAATATGTATTTTGGCCGTTGTCGTCTTTGTGTGTGATGCATCTGTGTGTCTTAACCTTTGCAGAGCATGCCTCCACCTCAGGCACATAACCCTGGCTGCATTGTACCCTCAGGAAGCAATGGCAGCAGCATGCCAGTAGAACACAATAGCAAACGTGAGAAGAAGATTGTAAGTTCCGGAACCATTTCTGTCATATTGCCTGGTGGTGGGTTTAAGGCCCTTTCACAGACAATCATCCAAGTGCTAGAAAAAATTAAGTCTTTGTCTTAAAGAAAATAAAAGGTCTTTGTCTTAAAGAAAATAAAAATGTGACCATTGATAATGATATTTTGCATGGATGTGGCCATGACCTACAGTTTTATTTTATTTATTTATTTTTTGCTTAAGTTTGTTTAGAAAAAGGGAGAAAGGCACTTTTATTGCTTCTGCTGTTTATAAAAAGTGTAACAAAGAGATCTCTTTAACTAATACCGAAATCTTTCTAATGTGCCTATATATATTGCCCAGATTCTGAAGTTAATCTACCTAGAGGAATTGCACTTACTGGGAGTAAGTAATCATGCATTTAGCTGTGGATATGTTTGGAAGCTTTTTTATGTTGCCTGATGCTATTGCCAAGATAATTCTGTAGTTAGAGCTGCACTAAAGTCTATCATAATCACCCTTCATCATCTCACTGTCTAGGGTAGCCTTTGTTAATTAGCTGGCAAAATATATTCCAATACCTTGGTGCCAGCCTTGCATTCAGGATGGCTTATGTATATTTTGCCACAAGTAGGTTGAAACTCTACCTGCAAAACCTCATTCCTTAGCACTTGGTTTTAAAATTATAAATTTGAGATATTGTTTTAAAAACACTGCATACCTGGCACCTTAGGTTATAAATTATACCTCAATTTACAAAAAAAAAATAAAATAAAAAAATAAACCTGTTTATTCTCAAGCCTGGAAAGAATTCTCTCATTTTTTTTGTCTCAACTTTCACCCTCCTGTGGCTTCCTAGGGTTTGAAAAAGTAAAACCACCTCAGGGAGACAGGAGACTGCTTGATGTTTATGTCACATCTGATCGTCTCTATTGGGAAGAGTGTAGAGAGTCTCATTTCCCAGTGACACCCTGTCACACCCATTCCCAAGGCTCATTAATGTGAGATCCTTTAACAGTTCCTAACGCACACTGTGTGAGAACTAACTCACTGCAGCTGAATCCGGATGTGCAGTTGGCCACCCACCTGCATGCTTGGGGTGCGGGTGGATCTTCAGAAACAACCTTCTCCTTCCTAACGTGAAGAAAGAAGAAAAGCACCATTTTCCCTCCATTTCTTCATCTCTCTTCCCCTCCTCTGCCTTTGGTTTCTCCCTGTCCCTCTATCGCAATGCCCCGTCCTAGTTCTTCATGGAGAACAGTCTGCACATTAATAGCTGCTCCTTCATCTCTCCAAATCTTACTGAGCTGTTCCCTCACTTACCTGACCACCCCCTGCTCAATTAATAAGGGCTGCATTGTGGGCTAAAACGGCCAAATGACTAGTTTGTTCCCCTGCCAATTCTCTGGCTCTGTGTCTGATTGGATCTGGTTATTGGCATGCCACTTACCCCTGTGGTGCACAGCCACTCTATTTAAACCTATTGCAACAATACATTTTGGTACAACACCATCAAGAGACTGCTGGATGACCCTTCTGGACTGTTCAGCAGATAGTTTCACAGTTCACAGAGCTAGTTCATGTTTTCTTCAATTTCCCTTTGATATTTTAAAATAAAGCCCATCTCGGGGCTTTCAGCTAGCAGAGGGAAGGATGAAACCAGATTCCCTTGACCCAGGAAGTCTCGAGCAGCAGTTAGACTCTATGACTGAATGCACCGTGGAGTACAGTAAGGAGGATTTGATGGTGTTATTGTTCTTGCTGGAGTCTTACTTGAAAAAGCTGTCTCGACTCTCCATAGGAAACTGGCTTGCTGAGCACCCTGCACCCAAGAGGCATTTGGGCTCTTTAACTCATTCCAGATAGCAGTTTTTCAGGGTGTTTTGGTAGAGTTTAAGTGCATTGTTCGTTTGACCTGAGGTTCTTGTTTCTCCTTGGGAAACGTTAATTTTATTTTTTCTCTTATAAATGGGTATAAACTGTTTTCTTCCTTTGTGACTAATTCACGTTCTTTTCTCTTCCACTCTTTCACAGTCAGAGTGACTCAGTTCACACTGATGAAGAGAGTTTGAAATCATTCTTGAGAAGGACAGTATCAAGACATTGTTCCTGTTATTGTTTAACCCACCTAATTACCATAGTAACTTAGATGTACTTCATGTCTCGTATGACTAAGACAGAAGCAACAATATGCTTTTGGAGTCTTTTTAAGTCATAAAGCATAGAGAATAGCAGAAAGTCAGTGATTTTTTCCCAGTATCCACACGACCCTTCTATTAGGTCTTGCATAGATAGCATGTGGTTTATTCCTCTCGTTTACAGAAGAAGAAACAAAGGGTTATAATTGTTCAGCAACTTCCTTAAGGTCTCACAGTTTATGAGAGCATAAGACCAAAGAGCCCCATTCCTCAGCATAATTGAGGGGACTCCAGTGACTCCAGGTGCTTCCAAAAATAGTGCAGTTCCAGTATGCCCTGCAGCTGCTCTTCAAAGCGCTCACTCCTCAGTACCATGGACAGAAGTACTGGAGCCCTTGGCTGGTACAGTTCTGCAAGAGACCTCTGGTGAACAGCACGACATGATTATTATAGGAGTGGAAATTGCATTAATCAAGGAAATTCCTTACAAAGAGTCGCTGCTTTAATGTGGATTTCAATCCCTTTTTAAAATCAAGGTGTTTTCTCTATAGGTAAATATCAGCTGCATAAGTTAAATTGCAAAACTCAAATGAAGACTGTAGATATAGAGAAGCTTGAGAACTTGACTCCATGTACCACTTTAGATAGGCTTTTAATTATCTTTGTCCTTAAGACATTGTAGGAAGGTGCTTAGTTTATTCTTAAGATATAATGAGAAATGATGTTTCTGGTATAAAAAGTCTAAACCAAACTCCCTCAAAATACAAGTTCAAGCCAATTAAATCCTCCCTTAATTGGCAATAACTCTTTCAATCTCCTTTTAAGTATTGGAAAATGTTTAATCTCTACTAAGTTTTCCTTTTTCTGGAAGAAGCTGTCCCTACTGTTTTAGTCTTTCCTTCTGGGCTTTATGGGTTATTTTCCCCACTGTGAACTGCTCCCTATTTGAACTTCATCTCTTGGGGCTTTGTAGATTCTTAGTTTTATTAATGTCATTCTAATCCTTTAGGAATAATTTATTATCTTTGATAAATTTACAACTATTTCCACTCAATAAATTCATGATTACATATTTCATTCAGCAAAATTGTATTTTAGGATAACAGGCCTTTCCTTGGTCTCAAGAAGAAATAACTTCAAGCGTATAAAGGACTCCAGATTACTAATTCTCATTTTTAAATTTGATTTTCCTTGCAGTAAATAACTTTTTAGTAATTAATTATAGTAAATAGTAATTTAGTAATTAATTGCATCAGGTATGCTTGGACTTGGAGAATTGTGTTTCTTTGCCAGCTTAAATCAAAAGGAAATGGAATAGATACAAACACTTGAAATTTAATTTTGTGCCAGGTGCAGTGGCTCACACCTGTAATCCCAGCACTTTGGAAGGCCAAGGCAGGCAGATCGCCTGAGGTCAGGAGTTCGAGACCAGCCTGGCCAACATGGTGAAATTCGTCTCTACTAAAAATACAAACTTAGCCAGGCGTGGTGGCAGGCACCTGTAATCCCAGCTACTCGGGAGGCTGAGGCAGGAGAATCTAGAAAATATAGGCAAAGGCTACTGGTTCACACAATTCTGTTTAATCTTTGTTCCTTCACCAACATTCTCCCCAACCCTAGGAAAGAATGTTCCACCCCACTTTTTTGATAATGCTACTTAATTTAGAATGCAGATAAAGATAAGATGGGAAGAGATTAGTGTTGCCAAAAATTTTGTTTTGCCAGTTTCAAGAACTTTATCACTGATATTTGATATTCATCTTTGATTAACAGCTAAGGAATTAAGATCGCCAATTCCTTTACACATTTATTTTCAGTCACATATTTACAACTAAGTTATAAAAACTAAATTATTTTAAAAGCTGAGAAGCATTTAAAAGAGTATTAAACTTTTTTTGAGGTATGTAGACTCTTGAGATGCAAAAGAAAATATTACTACTAATCTAAACAGATGAAATTTATGTTCATTTGTGAACACATATATGCCACGCCTTGAAGATATCGCCCTCCCCCCACACACCTTGATTAAAATGCAAATTTATGGGCCGGATACAGTGGCTCACACTTGTAATCCCAGCTACTCGGGAGGCAGAGATTGGAGGACTGCTTGAGCCCAGGAGTTTGAGGCTGCAGTGAGCTACAGTTGCATCACTGCACACTAACCTGAGTGACAGAGCGGGACCCCTGTCTGTAAATAAATAAATAAAAATAAATAAATCCTAGCCGGGCACTGTGGCTCACGCCTATAATCCCAGCACTTTGGGAGGCTGAGGCAGGTGGATCACCTGAGGTTGGGAGTTCGAGACCAGCCTGACCAACATGGAGAAACCTCGTCTCTACTAAAAATACAAAATTAGCCTAGCATGGTGGTGCATGCCTGTAATCACAGCTACTCAGGAGGCTGAGGCAGGAGAATCACTTGAACCTGGGAGGTGGAGGTTGCGGTGAGCTGAGATCACGCCATTGCACTCCAGCCTGGGCAACAAGAGTAAAACTCCGTCTCTAAATAAATAAATAAGTAAATAAGTAAATCTTAAAAATAAAATAGGTACATTAACAAAATGCAAACGTAATGAGTAAGGTTGATGTTTTGGTTCCAGGTCTTTACCTGCACCTAGTAGTTATAATTGTACAGATGCTTTAAACTGGATGACCAATGAAAGAAAGCTAACTGTTTTTGAGGTGTCTAAGTTTACCTGTGAATGAACTTTTTATCCATCCATGCAGAGTCCAGGATTGTTCTAAGAGCAAGCACGCAAAGTTGTAATTCTCTGGGGAGGGACCATGCCTTCTTTTGCTCACCATTGCTATTCCCAAGTCCTTAGGACAATGGCTGCCATGTAGTGGATGTTCAGTGTGTATTTGTTGAATGAAAGACACATTTCAAAAGCAATATTTGTGATTTCATTAGGTGCTTCGGAGATTAATTAGAAATGGCTAGAGAGTTTATCAGTTACTTTATTTGGACTTAAAATGCCCACATTTTTTCTACCAAATATAAAAGAGTCATTCATTTGAAGAGAGACTGGGGAATTGGTGACACCCACTTTTGCATATATTTACCAATTTTTATGAACAGGGTTTGAAAACTGTTTTACAAAGGAGATTTTCATTTAAACTTTACTATGCCTTTTTCACCTTCTAGCCAAACCCTCTACTCATACTTCTTAAAGATCCTAGAAGACGGTAGTTGTCAGATTGTTAGTATTTTATAGCCTTACAATATTTAGCATAATATAAGAATGACTGTTGAAATTGTGTTTTTTGCCCTTTTGCAGTTGGGTTCTTTGTTTTACTCCCTTTTCCCCCGTAAAATAGCTGAGAAACTTTTTACAAATTACCTTAACTACCTGCACTTTGCTTCCCAAGGTGAAGATTCTAAAGACAAATGGAGTGGCTCTTCTCTGCTTCTGCCTGTTTCTCTGCTCATTTAATGAGAAAGAGAAAACATCACAACTAAAAACTAATTTTGAATAACTAATAAAATGTCCACTGCATTTCAGTTCCATTTTTTCTCTTAAACCAGGGAAGGAATGATTTCTAACTGGTACTGAGTGAGCCTTTAAGAACTAAATCCCATTCATATTAGATGGTAAGGGGGTTATACTCACAGGTCTCTGAGAATACTGATATACCTAGGTCTGCAATAGGTGACAAGATCTGGCCAAATTTGGAAAGACAAAAAGAAAACACTGAACACCATGTGAATGTGAATGCCTTTAACAACCAAGTATTTAAAACTTACCTCAACAGTACAGTTGCTACAAGGAGCTAATGACTGACTTTTGCTTCACTTCTATAGGACTCTGAGGAGGAAGAAAATGAGCTGGAAGCTATTAATAGGAAGCTAATAAGTTCACAGCCTTATGTACCTGTGGAGTTTGCTGACTTCAGTGTTTACAATGCCAGCTTGGAGAACAGGGAATGGTTTTCCTCTAAAGTAGATCTGTCAAACTCACGGGTCTTGGAGAAAGAAGTGTCCCGTAGCCCTACCACCAGCAGTATTACCAGTGGCTACTTTTCCCACAGTGCCTCCAATGCCACCCTGTCTGACATGGTGGTCCCTTCTAGTGACAGCTCAGACCAGCTGGCCATTCAGACAAAGGATGCAGACTCCACCGAGCACTCCACACCATCGCTTGTGCATGATTTCAGGCCATCCTCAAACAAAGAGTTGACAGAAGTCGAAAAAGGCTTGGTAAAGGACAAGATAATTATGGTGCCACTCAAGGAAAACAGTGCCTTAGTCAAAGGAAGCCCATCATCCCAGAGCATCCCTGAGAAAAACTCCAAATCACTGTGCAGGACTGGCTCATGTTCAGAACTAGATGGCTCAGTTCAGAACTGCCCCAGCAAAATTAGCCAGCCAGCCAGGGGATTCTGCCCCAGGGAGGTGACGGTAGAACACACCACCAGCATCCTTGAAGACCATTCTTTCACAGAATTTATGGGAGTGTCAGAGGGAAAAGATTTTGATGGTTTGACAGATTCTTCTGCTGGAGAGCTTTCCAGTAGGAGGAACCTACCAAATAAAACAGGCAGCAAGACTGTCTCCGATGGGCTCCACCACCCCAGCCAGCTGCATTCCAAGTTAGAGAATGACCAGGTAATAATTCCAGAGGCAGCCCTTTGGGTTATGTGCTGTCGATGAGTATGTCTAACTGTATGCCAACCCCAGAGGCCCTTCACCACAGCAACTTGGTAGGAAAGATTCATCCAGATGTTTCTGACAGCAAAGATGAGCCCACAAAGAAGCAGGCTCACTTCCTGCACAGCTGTCTCTGTCGGAGAGCAAGTCTGTTTTGGGAACTAGAATGCAACTGTGAAATTATAGGACCAGTGGATTTTCTTTACCTGGTATATGGGTTGGTATTGAATTAAGTGTTAAGATGGATAAGGATCAATCTCATATTCGTTCCCTGAGATGTTCAGTTACCAGCTTTCCCAAAGTATTCTGGTAGCATCTACCATATTTCATCAGATCTGTGATTCCTTTGATTGTTATATGATCCATTATTTTTTGTATCATTAAGAAAAAATACTGCCAGGTAAACTTTATCATATCAACAGTTGTAAGACATCCCAATTTCAGAGATGGTAAAATGTGGAAAGAAAAACATATATATCATAGAATTGGAAAAAGACAGTCGTTTGGTGCCCATAGGTGAAAAGTGCTTTGGGGTGGTATAGGCAAATTCCACCAGCAGTTGAAGTTTGGACATTGGAAGTAACTCAGGTTAGTTTATAATATTGGTTAATTTTCTCTTTTTTTTTTGGAGATGGAGTATCGCTTTCACTGTGTCACCCAGGCTGCAGTGCAGTGACACGATCTTGGCTCCTTGCGACCTCCACCTCCCTGGCTCAAGTAATCCTCCTGCCTCAGCCTCCTATGTAGCTGGGACTACAGGCACGTGCCAGCACACCTGGCTAATTTTTTTGTATTTTCACCATGTTGGCCAGGCTGGTCTCAAACTTCTGACGTCAGGTGATCCATCTGCCTTGGCCTCCCACAGTGCTGGGATTACAGGCGTGAGCCACTGTGCCTGATCAATATTGGTTAATTTTCATATGAGAACAAAATGAGCTTTTGCCACTATTCCTAAGGAAAATCACAAATTACATAAATAAGAGATATTCTGCTTCTGAGTATTCTGCTCTGAAGTGCCACCATTGATTCGCCTTCACATTCATTTGTTTGGTCCCCCAACTGTAAAAGGTATGGGAGAGTCATGGTTTAGCAAAATAAAGAACTGACAGAGCTAGAAAGAGGCTTGGTAAAAGTAAGATAATCATGGTGCTACTCTATCCCTTTGTTTTGCTAAGCAAGTTATTCCATTGATGTGGCTTTTTGTCCCAACGCTTTTGCCCCTGCTTTCCATACCAGCCCTTAAAATTTCAGTGTATGGTCATTTATACAGCATACTCATTACTGAACTGCCAAAACCTAAACAGTCATCTCTGACAAGAAGAAAAAGACTTCCTTTCCTGACATAAGAATAATAATGGGCACTCACCACTGTTCTTGCAAGCAATACATGCATTTGTTTAGGTCTTCAACTTTCTTTACCTGGACTAAAGCAGAAGCTGCACGGCCGGTATACATCAGCTTGTCAACCCTTGTTTGTCAGGAAGGCTAGTGTCAAAGACTCTTTAATTCTTTAGTGTAAGATTAGGTTTGCTTCGGCCGGGCACAGTGGCTCATGCCTGTAATCCCAGCACTTTGAGAGGCCAAGACGGGCGAATCATGAGGTCAGGAGATCGAGACCATCCTGGCTAACACGACGAAACCCCATCTCTACTACAAATACAAAAAATTAGCCGGGCGTGGTGGCGGGCATCTGTAGTCCCAGCTACTCAGGAGGCTGAAGCAGGAGAATGGTGTGAACCCAGGAGGTGGAGCTTGCAGTGAGCCGAGATCACACCACTGCACTCCAGCCTGGGCGAGAGTGCAAGACTCCATCTCAAAAAAAAAAAAAAGATTAGGTTTGCTTCTCAAACCTAAAGGTGCTACAAACTCTAGGGGCAAGGAGGGTGTGGCAGGCCTCTTAAAAATTCATATTCATGGCCGGGCATGGTGGCTTATGCCTGTAATCCCAGCATTTTGGAAGGATGAGGCGGATGGATTGCCAGAGGTCAGGAGTTCGAGACCAGCCTGGCTAAATGGCGAAACGCCATCTCTACTAAAAATACAAAAATTAGCCAGGCATGGTGGCACACGCTTGTAGTCCCAGCTACTCGGGAGGCTGAGGCAGGAGAATCACTTGAACCCGGGAGGCAGAGGTTGCAGTGAGCCAAGATCGCACCACTGCACTCCAGCCTGGACAATAGAGCAAGACTCCGTCTCAAAAAAACAAAATTCAAATTCACCTGGGCTTGGTGACTTGCACCTGTAGTTCCAGCTATTCTGGAGGCTGAGGCGGGAAGATCACTGGAGCCCAAGAGCTCAAGACCAGTCTGGACAACAGAGCGAGATCCTATCTCTGTTTAAATAATTTTAAAAATTAAAATTAAAAAAAAAATTCAAATTCCCAGGAGTCACTGCCCTCCAGCCCTAAGATTTTGCTTTATACAGTGTGCAATAGGGGAAATAAGGTATTCACAAAACCTTCCTTCCTCCCCATCCCCTTGTACCCCCATAGAGTAATAGGAGACGGGGTATCTGAGGGCCATACTGTGGGAAGCACTGCCCATGGAAGAGGGAGGAGGAGCAACAACCCCCTTTTTGTTTTCATTGCCTAGATTATTTAGAACCCAACAGGAGAAGATAAGGATTGGAAAGTTTCCAGAATAATGTGTTCCTCCCAGAGATCATGGTTTAAAGTGAAGTTTACAAATGTTATATCAAGATGATGGGATTATAGAGATTTTTCTCCTTTAAAGAGTTTTTAGCCGAGCGCAGTGGCTCATGCCTGTAATCCCAGCACTTTTGGAGGCTGAGGCGGGTGGATCACCTGAGGTCGCAAGTTTGAGACCAGCCTGACCAACATGGAGAAACTGTGTCTCTACTGAAAACACAAAATTAGCCGGAAGTGGTAGCACATGCCTATAATCCCAGCTACTCAGAAGGCTGAGGCAGGAGAATCTCTCGAACCCGGGAGGCGGAAGTTGCAGTGAGCCGAGATCGCGCCATCGCACTCTAGCCTGGGCAACAAGAGCAAAACTCTATCTCAAAAAAAAAAAAAAATTTTTTTGGAGCCAGGCACAGTGGCCTGTAGTCCTAACACGTTGGGAGTCCACGACAGGAGAATTGCATGAGCCCAGGAGTTTGACACCATCCTGGGCAACATAGCAAGACCCTGTCTCTACAAAAATTTAAGATTTTTTGATTTATAATGTTTTTACTACATTGGTTTTAATAAGTTGTTTTGACAGTTTAAAATTTTTTCTGAGAGGCCGGGTGTGGTGGCTCACGCCTGTAATCCCAGTACTTTGGGAGGCTGAGGCAGGAGAATGGCGTCAACCCGGGAGGTGGAGCTTGCGGTGAGCTGAGATCGCACCACTGCACTCCAGCCTGGGTGACAGAGCGAGATGCCGTCTCAAAAAAAGAAAAAAAAATTTCTGAGAACCATAGTTTGACTTTTGTTCAAACCCCGATATGACTTAGACTGCACATCCAGAAGTTACTATTTTTTTTTTTTTTAACTTTTACTTTGGGTGTTACTGTCATTACTTTTCCTAGAAACATCACCTCGGGGCTTCTACAGTGTGAATTCCAGCACTGGATTCCATAATAAAACCAATCCTGTGGGTCCCTTTAGGAAGAGCCCCTGGTGGTGGTTGTGGACTGGGCTGAGAGTGGGTGCTGTGGGTGAGGTGGGCGGATGGGGATGAGAAGCATCAACTCACCAGCCTCTGCATTCCAGGGAGGCACGACCTCACGGTGAGAGCCGCAAGCACCCCTTCCTCAGGCCACAGCTTGGCGTCTTTGTTCACCTGGTTACCTTGGGCAAGAACCAGCCCCATCTTTAAAACGCGCTGCCGCCTGGCTGGACCTCAGACCAGAAGCTGGAGAATCTATGCCGTGCACTTCCTGGGCCACCTCCTTTCCCCTCCCCAGCGGGAGAAGCGGCACTTTGTCACTTGGGTGAATCAACAGCCTCTGCTTTTTCCAGAAAGCAAGAGAACTGAAAATCCCGGATTAACTAAGTGACAGTATTTTTGTTTGCACTTACTACACACCTCCACTGTATAGAAACCTCTGCAGATTCCAAGAGACTTTATTCTTGTACAATTTTAATCAGTTCTTACTGTAGAATCTGGAGTCAATGCTCTAATCTGTTTTTTATAAATAATATATATTATGTATATGAAATGTGTATCTATAGTATGTCTGGAGACAGACAAGGCTGCACACTAAAATGCAGATAAAGGTGATTTGTAGAAAATCATAAGGTACTGGACTTTGTTACAAAGCAACTTGGGCGATCTCTTATAACATGAGCAGATGAAAAATATTTTATTGCCTAAGAATGAGCTTGCAAATCCCTCTTTGCAGAAAAGGTTATAGAATGCTGTTCTTTATAACCAAAGAACTTACATAAGACAACATTTTTGCTGTCCACTCTTTTGTATGAACATGTATGTTTGACTGCAAGTTTGGTGCCATAATTCCCTTGGCTGCCAAGCCACGTGCTGTTGTTCTCTGTCCTTTGTTTCATAAGCACACTGAGAAATCTCACAGCTATATTCTTTGGTCTTCCACCTGCCCCACCACCTGCTGACTTGACATTGTATTATAACTGTTGACAGTGACTGGGGCTCTGACTCCGTAGTTGCCTGGACCGTGGCTCAGCCCAGCTGGGCAGGTGGAATGAAAAGAGCAGTATTACTGTAAGAAAACACAAGGACAGCCAGGAGTTGTGGTGGGGTGGGTGGGGTGGGAGGTGTTAATTTTTGTGTGTTTTTGTGTGTGTGGTTTTGTTTTGGATTGGTAGGTTTCACTGTGGTGTGGTTTTGCTGTTGTTATTTTGCTTGATTCTGGAAAATGCTGAGGAGACAGACTGAGCTATGAAGTGCAACGGTTCACACTTTACCATGTTTGCAGGAGATGATCGAATACAGATGACCCTGCTGTCATGTCTTCATTTGTAAAATTCTCCTACGAATGGAGACATTGAAGGATTATGTGTATGGAAATTTTTACAAAAGTCCTTTCTGTACCTACTCTGTAGATGCCTGTATAATCGGTCTGGATGTACAGCTATAAATGTGTTGTGAGAGCAAGAGAGAGAGAATGCGTACACAGCCTGCTGTACCTTTTTTCTTTTAAGTTCTTCGAGTTGGTAAATGAGTAAGATATTGGAAACCTTAATGAAAAGCTGCTGTTCATGATTTGTGTGTATAGTGAGCTGACTGTAGTATTTTACTATTGTCTGTTAAAAAAAGAAAAACTGTAATTTATATCCCCTTTCAACTTTATTGTGTTTAATTGGTACAGATTTCTGTGTGTGTGTGTGTGTGTGTTTTAGAATACAAACCGTGTAATTCAGATTTTAAAACATCAATTGTTTGTCTTTAATAACCCTGCCTTTAGTTTCAAATCTAACTTACCATATTTCTATGTGTGCAT